AGATAACCGCAGCGTTACATTGGACTGCGCATCAGAGCTATTGTCGCCTGGTGTTTGAATAAGGTGACAATGAAGTCTTTGAATAACATGTATGCAAGGAAAGGAAAAGTACTGATCTCCTATATTCATCTTTGGTTTGCATGAAACTTGATGGTTGAGTTTCCTGCAGAAAACAATGTTCCTACTCTGTCCAGCAGGATTTTATAGGAAATTTCTTCTAACCTTACATGATTTTGACATCTTCCAATTATTTATCCATACATTTGTGATTGCTGCTGGAAGCAAAAACAACTTTCATTCATGCACTATAGTTTTAACGCGACAGAAGAAGCGATTTAAAAAGAACAATTTCAGAAACTAATTCCATAAGAAAAATTCAAGGGTCGATGCGCAATCAAATATTTAAAATAACAAGATTCAAATCTCAATCTAAGGAAGATTTTACAAGAATCTAAAATCGAGGGCACACCCAAAGGACATAGCAAATCCAACAACTCAAATAGTTATTTTGATTTATTGGTTAAAAGAGATTGATTGATTTACAATTCTAACTACGTCTATTTATAGGCACACAAGCACTACTACAAATACATAAGCAACAAGAAATACTTAGACTGAAAAGCTACTTAACTAATAAGAAATTTTCAAAATATCTAAATAGAAAGGGAATGAAAATAAAGAGGAATTGTGTAGATCCACGGAGCGGATCCAAAATGTACCTTTCAATACCCGATTTGCGACCAGATCTATGGGTGTGGCAATTTTGATCTGTGCGTGAATTATTTTCTACGAGATGTAAAAATCTTGTCTCACATCAATCCCCTCAACTTTGAAAGAACTTGACCTTGAGTTCGAAAGAAAATTTGCATACCACAAACAACTATACAGGGCAATAATTCTTCCACGAAATTTAAAGAGTCATACTTGTGCACGAGCCTTTTTACTTGATCATGAACAATCCTCCCTGGAATTTTATAGGGCCCATGCTTGCATATGAACCTCCGCATCTAGTTACGAACACATGAAGTTGTATATGATCTTGGGAAAATCTCAAATTGAACTACTTCACCATCCAACATAGTTACAACAAATTTAACTATGCACACCGGGTGATACAAAATTCAACTTTATTGATTTTCGTAGGAAAGGCTCAGATTTTGCTACAACACTTGGTGTTATAGTCTCACGGATTTGATGGCTACTTTGGTTGTTTTGCATGCTACTTTCATACTATAAGAGCATCAAGGGACGGCACGAACAATAGGCTTGTCAGGAGCGAATTTCCTAACCACATACATATCCCGTACTTGTCGTCTATAGCTGCGTCTAGCCACTGCATATGTATCTTGAACACAGGACCTACTTTTAGCGAATCCAAGTGTTGCAAGATCATCTTAGCTTTCTATATCATGCTATGGAAAACGGCTGATGATCGTTGGGAACATCGATGCGATCTAGGAATGTCGATGCAATCTAAGGTAGCATTCATGTGATCAAAGCTATTGTGATGTGTATCAGCGGTAATACCAATTGACGCGGTAGCGGAAGCAATTTAAAAGGAACAGCTTCAATGTTTCATAAACTAATTTCATAAGAAAGAACCAAGGATTGATACTCGATCAAACCTCCAAAATAACAAGATTGAAATCAAAATCTAAGCAAGATTAAACAAGAATCTAAATTTTAGACTACACCCCAAAGACATGGCAAAGCCAACAACTCAAAGAGTTAATTTAATTTATTTGTCCAAGAGAATGGTTGATTTACAATAGCCCTAACTAAGTCTATTTATAGGCACACAAGAAAATAATAAGGAATAGGAAATGATTAGATTAAAAAACTACTTGACTAATAAAAAAACTCTTAAAACAACTAAATAGAAAAGGAAACAAAAATAAAGAGGGAAACTGCTACAATGACATCTATCTGCCACTAAAAGGATATGCTTGTAGATCCCAAATGTCCCTCTTAGTATCCAATATGATTCGCAACCAGATCAGCCATGGTTCAAAAACTCGGCCAAGTCGTCACCGAAACGGAGTTATCCAATATGATATCGGGACAAGATGATTCTAAGATAATAGATCGCCGAAATCTCGGTTGAGACGTCTTCAAGACGGATAGAAACGTAGGAGTGGGCACGGGTCAAGTACTCGTCCCTAACATGATTTGACTGACCTGACCCTAATATATCGGATCAGCCATTTTGCGACCCTAATCCGCTCCTAATGTCTTCGGGTACTCGAAAAAAAAGGGGCGGATCATAGGGTACCCACCCCTAAAAAAAAAACTATTTTTCAATTAAAAAAAATTACTTTCCACTTAATATCAACGTGTTTTCCAATAACAAAAACCTGTTTTCCAATTAATATTGGTAGAGATATTATAGTCAAAGTGCATACATCACCATTCTCACACATTTCATCTAATAATCAAACTGATTTCATAAATTTAGTACATATAAGAATTATAATATCTAATAGACAAAATGAAATTTCATGATAATTTTGAGTATATCACCATTCTCACACATTTCATCCTTTTACAACATAACAAACATAAAGATAATAAGTATTTGGCAACTTTCCCAACTTCCTTAAGGATATTATGGTACAAGACTGCATCACAAATGAGTTGACTGTGGAATCAAGTTCGGAAAAGAATTGAATAGAGTTGATAATTTTTGGAGAAAGTATAATCAAAATAAGCTTGAAAAATCTTCCCCAATTCTCTTACATCTTTGGAATAGACCTTATGGCATTAAAGGTGATGAAAAAGAAAAATAAATTTCTTTTACTAAAATAAAAGAGACAAATTTAAGAGACATAATTGCAATAAAATAAATCAAATAAATAAATAAATGAAAGACACAAATGTTTTAATTATCTAGCTAATAGAAAATTTGAGATCCAAACACAAATCTTTGATTGAATTGATGAAAGATTTGTAGGAAAGATCCATGGAGGTAGAATAAAAATAAAAATAATGAAAGGGATAAACAATTTTTAGAGCGAATTGCGCGAAATGTCACTAAACTATTTCAAAGTGCCGGTTCTGGTCACTAAACTTTTTTATTAGCGCGAAATGTCACTGAACTAGTAAATCTATACCGTTTTGGTCACTCCGTGTATTTGTGCCGTTAGGAGAGACGGAAATCAACTTTTTGAGGGGCAAATTTGTCTGCACAGCCTTTTCCTTGAAGCTTTTACATAATCAATGGTTCCGTATCCGGCAAAGACATAAAGGAGATGGCTGATCTGAATGGCGGCACCATCAAACTTCAACCAAAAAATGCAGGCGAAATTTTTCATAGTTGTAAAAAAGAAGAAAACTCAAATGCTGCTGACTGCTCTGCTGAGTGAGTGACGACTGAGAAGGAAGGAAGGAGAGTAGAGAGAAGAATGGTGGCCGCCGCCTATTCGCCGTCTCATCTCTCTCGCGACCCACACCTCTTCTGTAACTCTCTTTATCCCACTCACCTCCACCAACTCAGAATCATCCCCTATAACGCCCTCGCTTTTCCTCCTCTCAAGCCCCATCCAAAACCTTCCCTCTCTATACCGGCTTCCCAACAACAATCCCCCTCAATTTCCCAAATTCCTCACCGCCCAGATGCTAAAACCATCTCCTCTTCCTCAAAAAGCTATATCTGGGTCAACCCCAACAGCTCCAGGGCATCAAAGCTCAGGCGCAATTCCTACGATTTCAGGTATGCTTCTTTAGTCCAAGCTTCCCAACAATTGGACTCGTGTGACCCTGTAGAAGCTGACGTTATTAGTATTTTGGCTAATTTGGGTGGCAAAGTTGTAGAGCAAGATGCTGCCGTTGTGCTCAATAACATGTCCAACTCTGAAACTGCGCCTTTGGTGCTGAGTTACTTTCTGGAAAGGCTTAAGTTGAAGAAAGAAGTGATTTTGTATAATGTTACCTTCAAGGTGTTTAGAAAATGTAGAGACTTGGACAGAGCCGAGAAATTGTTTACGGATATGATTGAGAGAGGAGTTAAGCCCGATAATGTCACCTTTTCCACCATAATTAGCTGCGCCAGGCTGTCTTCTTTACCTGAGAAAGCCGTCCAGTGGTTCGAAAAAATGCCGTCTTTTGGGTGTGAACCGGATGAGGTTACCTATTCTGTGATGATTGATGCGTACGGGAAGGCTGGGAATGTAAATATGGTATAGCACTATGGTTGTAGGTGAAGAAGAATGAGGGCATAAATTTTTTAACTATTGTGTAGACGAAATTACCCCTCAAAAAGTTGATTTCCGTCTCTCCTAACGGCACAAATACACGGAGTGACCAAAACGGTATAGATTTACTAGTTCAGTGACATTTCGCGCTAATAAAAAAGTTTAATGACCAGAACCGGCACTTTGAAATAGTTTAGTGACATTTCGCGCAATTCGCTCCAATTTTTATGATAGAGTTTCACAAATTTTGCTTTGCTTTGTTCATTTGGTTTAGGTTTCATCAAGAATATTCGTTTTCTTCAAACAAGATGAGGAGAGGCAGATCATATGGAATTAGAATATGAGTATGTGAGCCACTTCAATCACACTTAGGATTAAAAATTAGAAAATTATAAAATGACTCCTAATTTTTTAATATTTATCTAATATACCCTGCGGTCGGATACTCGCAAGTTTTTATTTTCCTGATTCGTATCCGTATCCTTTTTTGCGAATATCTGCCCCGCTAAGAAAAATCGAATCGAATCAGATTGGTCAGGTTTAGGATCGGGTTGATAATGTGCTCCAACAAGGACAAATTCATATTGCTCCACTGACGAACAGTTCCAGTAGCCAAATACAAGTATTAAGTTATGCGATTCCCCTGTGTTGACAAAAAAAAAAAAAAAAAAGTTATGCGAAGTGTTTCAGCCAGAAAACCACTTGTATAGTTGTATATACGGAACAAGTGGACGGAATTAAAAGTTCAGACACACAATCATAAATAAAACCCAAAATCTCCATCGAACTCTATATGTGGATACTCAATTGTTATTATGGTCAGGAAGGATATTGAGCATATCATGGCCCCAAAAACTAAGACAAATTTCTAACTTTGTGATGGATTTCAAAAAAATTCTGCAAAAGGGATGAATTTGGAATGGAATTCCGATCAGGTCTTTGCATTCAGAAAATGCGAGGTCATGAATGCGAGCTCACGTGTTAAAAAAAGGACTACCCACACATTATTCACTTTGGCTAATATATTAACCCAAAAGCTGTCCCCTTCTGATTTTATCCATATCTTGGAGTATTCTAAGACTATTATGTCTGTTTCTTTTGCTGTAAAACCATGATGAAAACTTGCCTCTTTCGCCAAATGATGCCGGTAGCTTTTGGCCTCTGTTTTGCAGCTTTTGCTCAACACTCTCGGCTCTGTTTGCCAGCTTTCCGGCGACTTAGCTGTCTGACGACAGCTTCCGTGGGTGTAAGATGAAACAAAATTGCAGTCCTTCCCTCCAATTTGTATCTCCTCTTGATGGATGCTGCTGCTCCATAGATTTGAATGACGGATTTGGGATGGAATTTGGGTTCAATTTGCAGTGCCCAATTCTGCTGGTTTCTTAAGGGTTTCTGAATAAATCGGCTCTGTTTCTTAACCAAGCTCTGTTTTTTCTTTTTGACTGAAAGACTAAGCACCTCAAATGCGAGGTACACTTTCAAGAAAAAAAGTTTCAAGCTCGCATTTGTCTAATGCTTAGTCAACCTGATTTTAGAAACAACTCCACAAATAGCCTCTCTTGTAGAAACACTTTTTTTTTCATAATAATTTAAGAATTTATTCCAAAAACCAGTGCCTCTTATGTGGCCATGGTAGTTGTTCAGCATGCTTATGGTGGATTAAATATCTTGATGAACATCGCCCTGGACAAGGGGCTTTTTTTTTTTTTTTTTTTTTCCTGACGGAGTGGACAAGGGGCTTAACCAACATGCTTTTTGTGTGTGACGGCATGTAATTGCGATGCTTATTTTGGGACCTTTTGCTTATATGCTAGAATGGTAAGGCAGGTGATATATATGTGTATTTGTAATTATGTTGGTGTATTTGGTAAGATGACCGACAGAGCCCGACATTAATTGTAGCTGCTGCTGGAAGACAGGAAAAAGCGACCAAGACCATCCCTCTCTTTTGTGGCGGTGATGAAGATGTTCATGCTCTCTTCAATCGGAACAACCATCCATCTTGACATTTACTATGTGAGTTTGGGGTACACTTCACCAACTGTTGCCAGTACTTTGAGTAATGTCATCCCCGGTTTGACGTTCGTCATCTCTGTGCTTATGAGATACCGTAACATTACATTACATTACTACTAGCTAGTAATAGTGTTGATAAATCACTACCAGCCAGAGCCAGTAAGTACGTGCGTACTGCTATGTAATCGTATGATGTTGTTCAGTCAAGTGATGAAACAAACATATGCAAATTAATGATCCTACTCCGTCTAGTTGCCATTCTGCAGAATTGAGAGAGTGAACTTTTCAACTGCTAGTAGGAAAGCAAAGGTGTTGGGTACAATAGCTTGTGTCGCTGGAACCCTTTAATATTCTATAACTTGTCTCGGCATACTCTTTTTTTTTTCTTTTTTTCTGTTGGTTTTTGGTTGGATTCGAGTTGACTCAGAGCGAATCAACCGTTTCTATTCTTCCGAACATACAACATTTTGATTAGCCGAGCAGAAGTGTGCATGGCTTGCAAAACAAATCATCAAGCTCTCAATTGTCAAGTAATTATACCTCTTATTATAGTATGTGCTTCACGGGAGGTGGCACTATAATTTCATCTGCTTTACTATGATTATCTATCAAATAAAAAGTTATTTTCTGTGTCAATCCTTAAATCTCCTGCACTAATTTTATGGTTTCTCCTGCCTAGCTAGCTTGATTGGTGCACTTATAATCATGGTTCAAAGTTGTGGTCGCTACTCAGATCGTTTCATATCGGTTTCGGTATTCAATCATGGTTTCGGTTAGATGTAAATTTTGAAATAGTTAATACTCTATAACTTGTTTCGGCATACCTTTTTTTTTTTTTTTGCTTTTTTTTGTTGGTTTTTGGTTGGATTCGAGTTGACTCAAAGCGACTCGGTCGTTTCTATTCGTGTCGGAGACATCTCGACCGAGATCTTGGCGATCCATGTATCTCGGAGTCATCTCATCTTGGTATCAGAACGAAGAGCTTCGTTCCGGTGATAACTTGGCCGAGTCTTTGGACCATGCTTATAATCCTTATTGGCTTATGCTGGGTACTTCGGGGAAAAAGCAAAGACAGTTTTCTAGATTCTATTGAAGTGGAAGTGGAAGTGGAAGAACCATACAAAAGCAGAAAGGGCTGTAATGATGACAAGGTGCCCAGACGAGGGGCAGGAGCGATCATCAGAAGGACCGCTCTTGAGCTATTCACGGCCAAGATTTGGTCCAAAAAAATTGTACGATCCAGATCACTTTTTGTACCTCGTTTTTTAACGTGTGTGAGGTCCACAAAAATTTATTCTAAAGTTACACGTTGTGCAAACAAAGTTACGCCGTATGTAAACAAAGTTACGCGATGTGCAAAATGCACAAACTCGCTAGGAACGGCCAGTGGTCCCAAGGTGGCCGCAGTTACATCAGCTGATCCGCAGAAGCAAACAGCATATCTACATTAGCCTTGCTGGATTTCCAGTCCATCAGTAATACTACCCGGAGTCCTGTTTATCTGATGATGTCTTACAGCAGCAAACTTGGAGGCCGGGGGTAGACAATGTCTTGCATCACAAAGGGATACCTCATTCTTAATATCCTTACAAGAGCCTCATGAGTTTTACTTTTTTTTTTTAATTGGGTATTTTTCTCTCACAAATCAATTTCTTATTAATTTTTACTCCTTCTATATTCACTGGGGAAGGGATAGACTCAAAGGGATCATTGGAAAATCTAGAGGGGATTTAATTACCTTTAGGCCAGAAGGCTTTGGAATTAACCAACAACAAGTGAGGGGATTCGATGCAACCGAACAAGGAACTTCTGGAATTATCTTAAATAGTGCTCTACTGCGGCTAGTGGGGATAAGATATGCACAAAACGCAACAGTTTTATTCATCATCTCACAAACAAAATAAAAAAAAGAAGAACAAGATTATTGTTTCGTTGAAGTGACGGCAAGCTTAAAAGCAGAGGCATTAGCTCGCGTCTCTAATTCAACCACCACATCGATCACATATAGGACAAACCAGCAAAGCATAACAGTACAGAGATTTTAAGTCTACAATTTTACACACCACAACAGACCAAGGGGCGCAAGAGTCGTCGAAGTCCACAGCTTCCTTATCCTACGCCTTTATTCTTACGTAAAAGCAGTTGACTTTTAATGTCATCAACAGGAATACTTTATACGATGATAATAATTCAACATGGTAGAAATTAGGAGGCCTAGCTGGCTAGGCCGGTCGGTTCTTTCAGAAAAGTTTTAGCGACGGAAACTCCGGACCGGCCTTGGAGTCTCAGTCTCGTCTCCCTGGAGCTTGACAAATGTATAGACAGCTGCTCCGGCCAGGGCCCCGAGCGTGGGAGCCAGCAAGTATACCCAGATTGACTTGTAATTTCCAGCAGCAACGGCTGGCCCCAGGGTTCGGACAGGATTCATTGAACCACCGCTGGATGGCCTGCCAAAGGTAATGGCAATGTTGTCGGTGTTTGTCATTCTGTTATTGCTTGCACTCGACCTGAAGACCCATGCTAGTAATATACTAATTTTTAACTAAAAACCTCATCTGTTCTTAAATATGCAAACACAAGGGGATCATGAAGGTTATCTGTTCTTATAAAGATGCTCCTGTTTCCAATCGTGCCATAGCCTCTCATTATCTCAAGCATTCAAATTGCTCCTGTTTCTTACTCGATCTATATCCTCAAGTGAACGTCACAATATTGCAGCTAGCCCTTTTTAAATAGAGATGATAAATTAGTTTGCCCCTATAAAGGAGACTGGCTCAGATAACTTACGTGGATTTGCACTTTACATGGAGACCAAAAGCATTTTTTCTAGCGCATATGGGTGAAACTTCGAACATAGTTTCTCAAATGAGATTTAACCCAAAAAATCCTCATTTTTTAAAGATTTTGGAAAAAAATCTTGTTGACCAAAACAGCGAAACCTATAAGAAGTTCAAAAAGTAGACACAATACGCTGGATGCAACTTTCTACTTTGTGTTCAGAATAACATAAGCGCTTATGCATGCTAAAACATTTTCATTCTCTTGTAGCGTACGTGCGAGTCAATCAACAAATTAAAGATGTCCTCCTAATAGAATTTTCTCGCGGCAAAAAATCAACCAAATGTACGGCACACTTGGCGGAATGATTTTTCTTTGTTCCTAATAATTTTGTCATAGGTTGGATGATAGATAGTAAGGAGGAGGCAGGAGGGGGGAATATTGGGATTAGAGTTTGAGAAGATCGATCATATATATTGGCACGTACGTTTCAATTTTGTGAGAGACGTCAAAAAGCAAGATTTTAGAAATGGAGGAGGAAAACAGCAAGAAAATCAAACTGGTGGGGTGTGATAATTAATGTTTCTTCTCAGGACCCTAAACATGTACAATTAGCCAGCAATAATTTAGGAAATTGCGGTGATATATTCATATGACGCGGAGCCATGCATGCATGCATGCTTTACTCAATTTGAAAGAAGCACGAATAAATGATGTGTATGCACATATTAGCACTCGCCAGACGTCAGTCATCATATATGCTGCATATTGATTGAAACTCACCCGGCGACGAGAATGTTGAGCATGACTGTAGCTCCGACTGCTATACCTGCCAATTCTCCAACCTATAAAATGCAGTGGCACACGTACGTGAATTAATTGAAATGAAATGATGAAGTCTAGGTGGGAAGGGCAGTAATTAATTAATTATATTGTGATGGTGCTTGGTGCTTACTGCTCGAGTGTCGGTGGCAACTGCAGTAACAACAAATAGGAGAACGAATGTGATGAGGAACTCGAGGGCGAAGGCTTGGCCGTTGCCTACAGATGGAATCGTGACGCCTCCTGACATAAAGGGGTGGAAAACACCTTTGAGAGCAAAAGAAGCACAGATGGATCCCGAAACTTGAGCTGCGATGTAAGCCGGCACCTGAACCCAAGGGAAGTGGCGGAGCGCCGCAAATGCAATGGTGAGGGAGGGATTGAGATGAGCTCCCGATATATGCCCTGTTGCCAATATCACTATCATCACTGCTAGCCCCGCACACGCTGCGTTTCCTATCAGCGTTTCTGCTCCGTCGTACTTTTGGTTTACAATGGGTCCAGCTGCGGCACCAAATATCAGGATGAATGTGCCCACGAATTCTGCTCCCAGCTATGTTCAGTATAATTCAAATTTCATTCATTATTAAAACCCCCCAAAAAAAAAAAACAAAAACAAAAGGTGCCAATTCTTGATGACTTCACTTCTTTAATCTTTTACATCATTCATACATATATATATATATATATATATATTTCTGTCTTAGTAGATTAACAAGTTCATCACGATTTGTTCCCTCCATTTTCTTCCTCGAGGTTTTACTTCTGTTGCAGAATTACTATTCCATGAACTTTTAAGTACGATTTTTATGGTGAATTTATCAGGGAATAACCATTGTCGGATAAGAGAAGAGTATCCAAAACCTTTTGGGTATTCCGAAGCGAAGCGGAGATGGTACAAGAAAGGGGTTTCGAATCTTCGATCTCCAAATTAGTCTCTATTTCCTCTCTCCTTTCTTTATACAGCTGTCACGTGTCTCTAATTTTTTGATAATCCAAAGTCAAACAAACCAATAATAATCCATTGACAAGTTTACTCAAAACCAATTAAACAGATAACTCAAAACTTTTAGGCCTTTGGATAAATCAAGCAATTTCAATAACTCAAAACTATTTTTTTTCTTTGGATAAATCAAGCGGTGGTTCCCTAATCAGAATTTCTTCAACTCTAGTTTACATAAAGAAGAAGATTGCAAGTTTTGGTTTTAAATAAATTTGTCAATGGATTATTATCGATTTGTTTGAGTTTGGGTTATCAAAAAGTTAAAGACACGTGGCAACTGTATAAAGAAGAGATAGAGAGGATAGAGACTAATTTGGGGACAGAAGATTCGAAACCCAAGAAAGGTGGAAAGTGGGCAATGGACAAGGCCTCAAAAGTTCCATTTAAGACAAATTTGTCTTAAGAGTATAATTAAGTTAAAAAAAGGTGTAATAAAAATTTAGATGCGAAGTGACTTAATTAGATTAAGATGTAACAAAAGTTAAAATAACTACTTTACTCTAAACTTGAGTAAAATAAAACTTGCGAGGCCTCGGAGGATCCAGAGGGGACTAGAGCTACAATGATAGGAGAATTGTGAGATTTATCCCCTTTCCTAGTAATAATTAAGGCCGAGTTTTTCTTGAAGTCAAGGGGGAGGAAAAAAAAAATTCCAAACGCAATTAACATAATGGAGGCTTTAATCAGTGTTCATACGTACCGTCACTGTTTTCAATTTTTTGTGTGAGCAAGAGCAGAGGTGGTAAATGGTCAATTTTTAGATACCATGAGTCCACTAAAAGAAAGCTTCTTTTGCAACGACTTATTTTATTTTATGGCAGGATACAAATATTAGGGGTGAGCTAAGGTCCGTACGATAGCACGTGGGCGGCATACATTACTAGATCGGATCTTCTTCCTAGTTCTTGTGTCATTTCTATCTTACTTTTTATTATATTGTCATTCCTTTTTTATAAATATTTTATTTTAATTTTTTAATTTTCTTAATATTCAATAACTATTAATTGAGTAAAAAATAAATACAACAGTTTCAAAAAAATAATATATAATAAAAAATTAAAAAATACAGCAGAAAATTCATTAAAAAATCACATTTTTATGCATTTTGATTTTTTTGAATTTGTTAAATTTTATGTATTACTCAATTATTAGTTATTGGAATCTCAATAAAATAAAAAAGAATTAAAATATGATGTTTACGAAGGAGAAATGACAATATAATAAAAAGTGAAACAGAAAGTAACACAAGAAGTGGGACATAGAATCTGTTGCACGCTAAATGCTGCTATTTAATTCCACAATAGGCGTCAGTGCTGGCTATGGATTTGAGCAATTTAACCAAAATTGACATATTACACGTCCCCTCCATCTCATTGTTAACATTATATTTTCACGTTATTGATGTTCCAAATTTAACAAATACTTTCTAATCTTATCACTTGAGAAGGTATCATTTTAAAATTTTGGTGCGCATTTCAAAATGAAATATTTTAAATTCAAAAGATACATGCATAAATTTACCAATGTCACATCATTTAACATAATAATTACTACGCTATCATAAAAATTTGAATTATCAAAAAAACAACTTTAATATTGAGACCGAGGGAGTACATCCAACGATTACAATGGACTTCTCTAGGGAACCCGTTGAGTCATGCAGGAGGTTAAAATATCAGTTGACGCGTCATCAATCCGTGGGAAGCATGTGCAATGACATTAATTAAATAGTGTAAGTTTTGTCTCCATATGTACCATAGGTTTGTTTGGACAGCAAATTATTTAATCAAATATATTTGTTTACATCATCATTACAATTTTCAATACACCTTTTTATCTTCCCAATTACCTTTTTATCTCACATACATCACATTACAAAAAGTGCTACAGTAAAAATATCTCAAATAATTTACAATTCAAACAAACCCGTGTCAATTGGATTTTTGAATCTTATGCCTCATTTGGCAAGTGAGTTTTTTGAGTGTTTGTCTAAAATTTTACTGTAACTTACTGTAGAAATTTTTTAAAAAATTTTTGAAGTGTCTAAATTTTTAAATATTTTGAAATGTATAGTTTACTGTTTTTGGGAGTGTTTTTGAAAAATTTTGCTGTAGCAGAGTTTTTCGAATATATTTTGAGATATTTTTAGAAAATATTTTGCGATATTTAAGAGTAGAAGAATTTCTAGAATATATTTTGAGATATTTTTTAAAATTTTAAAAAATTTTAAACTAATTTTTAGATTATCTTTTAGAATACTTTTTACAAATTTTTATTGTATTTGAAAAACACTCCCATCCAAACAGAAGTTTTTAAAAAACTTGTAGCAAACAAACTTCAAAAAAAACTCAAGTGCCAAATAGGACCTTAGTTTCAGTAAACCTAAACTTGGTTCACAAATTACATGAATTTTTGGATTTCGGTTTTCGAGTTTCGAACTCATATTAAAGGTTCAAAACTTAATCCACACTATTATATGAGTTTTAGGCTGAAATTGAACTTGACCAAATTCATGATTAAATACATAATTATATATGTCATATATTTTATAATTATGAATTAATACAAATTTATATATAAATTATTAATATTTTATGTCATAATATGTATAATCATAAATTATACATTACTATATATATTTTACATATATACTTATACTCATATATGGGTCGGACTTTAATTAGATGTAAACTTAGTCTTGGCTCACATTTAATTTAAATATAATATTTAGAACCAAATTCTGCCCTGCCCAATTAAAGTTTAAAACTCAATGAGCCTTTTTGGGCCAAAAGGGCCGAACTCGAGTTAGCCCAGCCCATTGAAAGTCCTATATTTTGAGGTCGTTCGTATAATGGCTAAAAAATTAAATTGAGTACTATAAGACTGTTACAAATTTATGATTCATGTATAAATGGCGGTCATGAAATGACCAAGGTCAAGGCAGTGGGAAATAGAGATTTTAACTGTTTAATTTAGTCTTATTATGTGGTAAATTTTTATACCACAAGTTATGAGTTGATAGTAAGTTTAAGATCGGTGACTTGTTAATATTGATCTAACTATTGTGAATTCATTGTGTATATATAGAAAAAGGAAAAGGGAAAATCAACCAGGGACAATGATGAGCCTTCCTCAATGGTTTCTGTATTTTGTCGACAAACTAGCATAGTATATGGGATGTCTATAAAACAAACTCTATGATACGAGAATATAATAGTGTCCGCTGAACTTTGTACAATGGAATGAGAATATATGTTACAGCGCATGACACCTACAAGGAGAAGCATAGAAAAACAGGCAAAAGTGATGCAAAGGCAGAGAGAGTTAATCGGCGGCAGAAAGATTTGAAAAATATCAAAAAAAGGGGGCCAAGTTGTAGGGTACCTTGCGGGTAAGGGAGACATCTGGGGCGGGAAAGTCGGTGAGACACGTGTGAGCTGCACCCCATGTTGGCACCTCCACAGGCAAGCACTTGCACCGGGGCATTGACTTCCGATCGCCGGACATTGAATCAACTCGAACCGACGAAAACAATGGCGTTGGAGTCCCCGGCGTTGGAGGCGCCGATGCTCGTGGAGTTCCACCATCCGATTCTGCCATTTTCCGCCTTCAGAACTTGAATCGGCTAGAACAACCTCTTTTTTTTTCTTTTTTTTTTTATAAAGATTTGGTTCTAGAGAAAGAACTTGAAAGACTGATATTACATGATTTGTGGATTTTTATAAAGATCTTGCTACACGAGCTTCTGAGCTAGGGCCAGCTCTATAACGCTATGATTACTGGGCAAACAAGGTACGCAAATGAAAAAACATATACGTACTGGTATATATCTTTTTGATTTTTTTTTTTTTTTTGGGAAGAGGAAAAGACGGAGTCGATCAGAATTACATGCTTAGCAGCTTTTTATAAATTTGCGGCTACGGAATATAAAGAATGAAGTGGTCCAGTTTACAAGCTAGAAACTGTATGTATTATGTAATACGGTGGAGTGGAAAAGAGAAATTGGAGAGGAGATCCAGCTTTTGATTACGAAAAGATCAGGGAGAGAATTTTGATGGCGGAGATAAAAAAGAACACAAGAAGATGGAAGACTAGAGGAGCAGTTGGTTCGTCTGAGCCTCGAGCTTTAATTTACCACCTCCCGGATCAGGATGCCGCAGACGCAAACATGAAAATGACTAAATGAAAAAAAAAAAAAAAAAAAGGAAAGAACTGCAACTGATTAAGGTTGGGGGAGGAACTGAGGAAGGGATTGGTTGGAAACAAGTTGACGGTGGAATCAGCAAACATGCATCTATTTAAAGGTATACATATAAAGTTAAATAAATACTAAAAAGAGAGGGGCCGTCTAGCCTATGAGCCAATGAGCAAGAAATTAAAAGTCAACTCTCAACATCTCCCCCCACTCCCCAATTCTTTTTTTTTTGTTTTAATAAAAAATTTGGATAAATTTAACTTCTATCACCACTACCAGCCATAAATCGCACAAGCTCTCTTTCTTTCTTTTTTTTTCTATAATAAAATATTTAAACTGGTTCGCTTCCGATCACCAATACACGCCATAATTGCATACGTCCTCGTACGGTGAGTAAGAACACAAGCCCTCGTTTTTTTTTTGTAATAAAAATTTAGGTTGTGTTTGGATTGCATTTTTCGTCATTTTTCATGGAAAAATTACTGTAGCGATTTGATATATGCGAGGAAAAAATGTGATAGAAAAATGTGATCATGGAAAATGACAATATTTTCCGACCAAAACAAGCAATCCAAGCATGACCCTAACTAGATTGGACTCAAATCTCCATTAATTGAGCCAAGCTTATGTTATACGTTACCCGCCCCCAATCATCTTGCGTGCGTAATTGCTTTTTTTTTTTTTTTGAAGGAACGCATAATTACTGCTTCCATTCATGTTTGTTAAAGTCACAGACGCCTAATATTTATATTTGTCTATCATGGCAGCCAACACCACCGACGACGCGGATCCAATTGCTACTAAGTTGAATACATTATTGGTATCCAAACGTCAGGATTCAGGAATCATTCAATTGCCACCAGTTGACGACTTTGTAAACATGGGACTTTGATACAGCAACCAATCCCAGCCCTGTAACGGCCTCCTCACTCTCCCATATTTCTGCTCCTTCCACCTCGCTCCCTCCCAATAATGCACTTAGACAAAGCATACGGGTTTGTTGACTAAACAAACAAAGGAACAAAAAAACTTTTCTCAGCATCATTAACATGTAGTACATTGTACACTTCCCCCGTGGAGATCTGTACCTGCATACGCAGTGCCATTGGACGGTGTACAACCAATAGTTTATACACTGACGATAATACAACTACATCGATGGACATCTTTTAATGCGTTGTAATTTGTTAATTACAACAATATTGAACGGCAACTAGACGGGGAGAGGATGGTTAAAATAGTAGCGTGCATCTAAGGTTCCGTTTGATAAAGTTGAATCTGAATTCTGAAGTCTGAATTCTGAAATCTAAATACTGAAATAATTAATTTATTGAATTTTAAACACTGAAAAGAAATATATGAATGTCTGAATTTTAATACTGAACCTATTTATACTGTTTGATAAACATTTATAACTGAATACTTAATAAGTTAAATTTAACAATTTTGCCCTTATATCTTTTCATCCAAAAAAGAAATAGAACCTAGGATTTAATTAGCTTAAAATTTTTAGGTATGAAATGACAATATTTATTTTTAAATCAAATTAATATAAAAGATGAAATATATTATATGATGAGTATGGAGAATATGTGAAAGTCATTAAAAAGGCAGAAAAGAGAAATAGAAAATTATTAGATAGAGAATATTAAATTGTTTAATTAGATAAGAATTTTGAATATAATTAATAAACAATGGTAGATTTGGTAGATAAGATAAGATAGTTGAAGTAATTCTATTGATTCTTATCAGAATTAAGCATTCAGTTAGGATTCTTGTGCTGAAAAAAATACACACAAGTTCAACACTACTTAACAAATTCAGAAAATAGATTTTTATTTATCAAACACTCAAAACATCTGAATGTCTGAAAAAGTTCAGATTCAGCACTTTTTTATGTTATCAAACAGACCCTTAGTCTTTAGTTTTTCACGTTTTACGTTTGTTTCTCTTATTTCTCACTCTCAAAAGAATGTTAATTCTTCGTTTACCAACATGATTAAGAAGCATTTATTTTGGTTCTAAGATCTACTCTCAAAGACATTTTAGCTTTAAAAACTCATTTGCTTTTATGTGATAATAATTTCAGGGCATCGTACCTCATTCTCATCCAAGAACACAAGTAGAATTTAACTAAACAATATGAATTATATATTTTTTGGGGAAAATTAATTGAGGAAATTCATAAAATGCGCATAACTTTTGTACCGTTTGTAAATCGGAAAAAGTTTATTACAATTTTTTTTTATGAAAACGTTAGAATTATTATTAATAAAAAAAATAAACTATACAATTCTTGAGCAAATGCTCATTTTGAGCTTTACAATAATGTACTAAGACACGGAGGATTCCAACATTCCTCGTCGTATATTGAGCTAGCAACATAAACACTAATCATTCTACTTCTATTGCTATTTTCATGCGAAGACAAATTAAACTAGCATTTCAAAAACAATAATCTTTAGTTTTGGATGTCTTTAACTTTCTCTGTCTTAAAAAGATGTAGCAGGTTAGATTAGATGATGAAACTTCTACTATCACCTCCAGCCAATGTTGCTCCCACCTCTTACTCAGTGCCAGTTTTAGAGCTTCGGTATAGTCTAACATAATATCTTCTCTGCTTCTTTCCCTTGAAGCCCAGACAACATGTGTATTGTTAGCCTTTGATGCTATTGTACCAAATTCCTAGTGCCTTGCTTCTTTTTTATTACTCACCTCAACTTTTATATTCATACAATTCCCATCTTCATTGCTGTTCTGAACTTCCTCCTCCACCGTTACTGTTTCCTGAATGCTTAGTCGTTTGTCCTTTACTTGAGTTTCTATGAACTCCATCCACTCTAACTGAGCTTTCTGTACAATTTCAAAAGGATGCCGATGTTTACCATTTGTTAACTAAAATGACCGAAAGGTACATTTCTTTTTTACCCAACCTATGTGCAAATAACCAACATTTCTGCACTCCACCACCACCATGTTAACCACCTACAAGGCGTTTGCTAATTCTGCAATATTCTTAAACCTCAATATATGTGCTCCATCAATTCATCACAATTGTGAAAATTCCTCTCCCAAACGGATCCACTACAAGAAACTAGCCGATTAGTGACAAGATTGTTATGACAAGGGGAACTTTGTCACTTTACCGATGTAAATAGTGAAAACACTGTGTTTGTCATCATAGTGAGTTGGCATCAGTGACAACTCCCCGTGGGCTTGTCGCTGACACGTATCATCCTAGTGGCAATTTTCCTTCTTGCCACTTATGGGTCATATTGCTCTAATTTTCAAATAGTACTCCGCCCTTGATTTTCTATTTCTTTTGTTGGTAAGGTGTCTCTCCTCCTGATGATTAATGAAGTTTTTCTATATCTAGAAGATGGCTAAACCTTGATTTGGTACTTTACATAGATAAGTATTGGTTACACTTCTTAGCAGCTTCAAGATTTGACAATACTATTATTATTTAAAATATTTTTTGAAATAATTACTGTAGTACATTTTATGATATGATGAATGTGTGATAAGAAGGTGGTTAGAAATACAAAAAGATGAGTTGGAAAATGTATTTATAATATAAGCAAAATATTATTTTAAAAAATTTGATATCCAAACAAACCCACTAGTTTTAGGTCGCATTTTTTATTTATCTTACTCTCGCATACGGGTTTTAACTTTTATTTCCTGCATTTATCACTTTTGTTACGTTAAGTGGTATGGTACATTAATCTTCTTGCTCTACAGGGATCGGCAATCCAGTATAAAAGTAGATTTCGTTGCATACAGAGCATAGTAAGAGGTGAAGGGCCTTGTTGCCCTTTCAGAGGTACAAGTGCATTGCAACTAAATAAAAGTGTTGTTTCTGTTTATTAAATGTGAAGCCCGGGATCCAAATATATGGTACTTGTTTGTTCTTCAATCTTTTAAAATGATCAATCTATTTATCACTTCTAAAAAAGGAAAAACTTAATATATATCCAGTGCGAATTACTACTATTGACTTCATTTCAATTAGTCAGTTTAGAATGATCAATCTCTTTATCACTTCTAAGCACCTAAATCTATTTGAGTAAATCAATTTTTTCACTTATCAGACACAATCGGAGAGTCATTTCTATAGTACTTGCAAAAGTTGAATCCTGAAGCGAGTGGATAAGTTTGAAGCTTTGGATGTTAAGGCTTTAGTCTACAATCTCCTAGCTAACTATGTTTATTTATATTACTTCAAAATGTCTTTCCTTGACAGTTGATAAATATTGTTCTCATCATATGCACATTTAAGCTCTGAATTTTATATCTAATAAGTGCTGTGACTGTGATGTCAAATCAAAAAAAAAATTGCAACCATGTTAAAAGAAAGCTCCACTATGACCTGTAGCTCTTAAGAAATGAGTTGCTTCAATTCTTGTAAATGCTAGCGAGCCCTACAATAGTAGTCTTGATCTGGAGTTCTTTTGCTCAATTGGTTGAATAAGCAAGAGGATGATTTTTGGCTAGTGCTTTTGGAATTATCAAAGCGTTTCCAAGGAGAATACGTTGGTGATATGGTTGTTGCTTATTGAAGTAGGGATTTTGTCTTTGTAAATTGTTATACATAACATTGATGACATGCTTACCATCTGAGGCCCTATTGCAACATTTATGCTTTGTAATGAAGCATTTATTTTGTAACCTAATTAGTGCCAGTATTTTTATAATATATTTAAAATTGAGTTGTATGGTTAGATAGTTTGTTAATCAATTTCATTTTAATATGTTGAGCAGAAGTGAATTTTTGAAAGAATTAAGAATAGCACGAATGGTATTGAATGGATTATTATAGTGACTGATAATTGTGTTATTATTACTATTTTTAACTCTTGAAAATCGTCACTATAAAGGTTTTGTGCGATAACTTTATCTTGTTTAATCACAATAGCGTATTTGTTGGGAAAATTTGTTTGATGGTTAAAAGTTTTGAGTCCAAATCCCTCTGCCTCCTTTCTACTTTCGGCTCCTTTTCGGCTTTTAAGTCCCATCTTTTGAACTTAGAAAAACATTAAAAAAGGCAATAATATACAATATTTTTAGTGACAAGGCCTTTTTTTTTGTCACTGAGAGCATACAGTGACAAATTTTTTTTACTTTTAGTGACAACTGAACCCTTATTTCTTGTAGTACCATAAATGCCTATCCAAAAATTACAAATTTTTTTTGTTGTGTTGAAACTCCAATTCCACGTGGGTTATCACTCATTGGTCATCAGAATGTGCTGTAGCATTTTTCTTTCTGTCACTTTTTTCACTTGCCAGTTTTTATTCATCAACAAAAGACACTTCTTTCACATTTAGCTAGATTTGGGTTATTGACTTTGAATGATATTCAATTTCAAGTAACTAAATCAAATTGTCAGTAATTGGAGTCCAAAAAATTTCGGTCTTGATGGCAAGGAGTCAACAGCTGATCTTTATCAGGCAAGGAGTTGAGATCGAAGTGTATACAGGTATATTTATGAAGGAAAAAATACGTAAATAAGGTACCATAAAGCATCTTGCGCAGATTATGTTTCAAACAACAAAGTCGCAGAATTTATTTCACTGCTGTTGCTGAAGAACTTGATGTTCTGTGTATTGGAGGGCTTGCCCTATTAGCTAATTAATATTGGTATCGGCCCTGAGAAGCATGTAGCTGCAAATTCGGAGTTTCGCACAAGCATTGCTTGTGATTCTGACTCTTCCGAAAGGTTAACTAAAAAGGGATTTTCAGCATTTAGCAGTGGCAAGCACGCCATAACAGCATAGCGTCGAGTTTACCTTGACCGTTGGCATAGTATTTTAATAAAAATATGCATGTTACAAGGAGAACAATTTTATAACTTTTGTTTGGATTTATTGGAGTGCGAATGATATTCTTTGACTAAATGATTATTATATGAAATTAAGACTTTCAGTTATAATAATTTTTGTAACGTACAATTCTAATTTAAATATAATTTGAATAGCTAATAATTCCTACATTGTTGACTTTTTTTTTTTTAACTTTTATCACCTATATGTGTGTGGACCTTGAGATAAAAAGACTAGTAGGCTGCTAATGCTATTGCAACTTATGCTTTGAGAGCGACGAGTAATAGTAAAAGAAAGATAACCTATTTTATCTATAAATCTATCTCATAACTTGATAAGAAAAATTCAGTATCTTATCTTAGCTGTGCAGATTAATGAGGATGGCAATAAATGTGGCTAGGTTATTACTGTATCTTGGGAATAATAAGTTGGAGTAATAAGCAGAGCTAAATTGGAGAGTTTAATCAACATGATCTGCACTGGCCTTGAGATAAACAGGAGGGATGAATTTAAGGATGAAAGATCAACTGCAAATTTTAATCTCGCACGTTCCACAAGCATGAAGCAACAACTCTTCCTTATCCTTGGTCGTAAGGGCGTTGCTTTCAAGATCAGACTGGTGCATCCACTACGACAGCATGTCTCCCTAATTATATATTCCATTTTTAAAGACCACGCATCATCACGTTTTTGGTTTTAGAACCGAAACCAAGTCCTATACCGACCCTCATCCGTATGATGTTTTATTTTATATTGCTGCACTGGAACCCCCATTGCAATTATACGATTAGGTCACGACAGGGAAGAGGAATAATAATGCTCGCTCTTTACCATTGCCATGTCTGAGCGGACTTCGCGGTTGCTTCTTTGCAGCACTTATGGAGAATGACGATAAAGACAAAGTCGTGCAGTGCTTTCATCATTTTCTTAAAGAACGGTTGTTAATTTTATGTTGCTCCTTTCAACTATATATAGATTTTCACTTTGGTCCCTAAATTTTAACATGGGATAATTTAGTTTCTAAAGTATAAAATTTATCTTACCCAAGTAAAATTATTGGCGAACAAATTTTATCATAATTTTATATTTTAGGGATTAAAGTAGGAAATATTTTATATTTTAAGGATTAAAGTCACATAGATATTATAATCTTAAGGATTAAAGCGGGACATATTTTATCCTTTAGGAATTAAAGTATCCTATTTTAAAGTTTAAGGACCAAAGTAAAAATTCAGATATAATTAAAGGGTGTAAAGTGGAATTAATCCCTAAAGTAAAAATATATCATTCCACCAACAAATTGGTGTTCCCTTTTCTATAACACTTTGTTGATTAGTTGAGGACAGGAGATGTGAATTCGAAACTTTACATAAATAGATCATCAAAATAAATACAGCATGTATTTGAACTAATTTATCCTAAACATTTCTCAACTTGAGAAGTTCTTCTATTCTTACTTTCCAAGAAAAGGAAAAAAAAATGTATTACTTCATTGTCGGGAAAAAAAAATTCCCAATGTTATATTCGTTCTTTAAGCCATCGCAGTATAGCCTTCACCACTGCTATTAGCCCCTGTTTAGGCTCTCATCAAAATTTTCCTGGGATTGGACTAAATTCACTGGACGGGACGAATCTCATGAACTTTTAGGTACATTCGTTACCGTCACCACTACACTGACAAAGTAGGACATTCCCCAGCCCCTTAAAATGGAAAAAAAAAAAAAAAAAAACGATTGAATAGCGTCCGCGCATAAAAGTTTGTTCCCAAATATTCTGCTTGTCCGCCGCATAATAGCTACACTCCAAAAGAACCAATGATGCTAATTCTCCGCGAGCTAATATTGTGTTACTTTAGTGATACTTTTACTTTAGCCCGCGGAGAATTAGCACCATTGGTTCTTTTGGAGTGTTACTTTAGTGATACTTTTGCTTTAGCCCGCGGAGAATTAGCACCGTTGTTTCTTTTGGAGTGTTAGTAAAAGTATCCAAAAAAAAAAAAAGTCATCACAATGATCGCAAAGAAAACTTTCTTTATATGATACGTTGAGTGGAAAATAATCCAGGATCCATACTATGATAAACTCCACCAGAAAAGAAACTCTTTTCTTCCTCCAAATACTCGAAATCTTTTCCAGTGGAGGCAGCTCTATCAACTTTTTTCTGCATTGCCATATTATTACAAACCACGTCCACAGAAGTCTATCAATGAAGGATGTCGAGAAGCTTGTCAACGATTCACAAGGGGGATGGCGCCCATCCCGCTCAATAAGGACAATCAGGAAAATACGGCCGACAGAATGGCTCACACCAAGGAGGAGGACGGAGACGTTACTTCTGACAAAGGAAGACGACAGATCAGCGGAGAGTTGAATACTTTTTGGACCCAAACTAAAGGATAGTAATCCACCCCTTCTGTCATAACTAACACAGATACGAGAACCTGCAACCAGTTTATGCGTTACCGTATAATAGTTAGGGAAACAACGTAAATAACTAATAATCACGTTAATCCGAGTGTACAGTGAAGATGTATAGATATCCATGTAATGCGTTCCGGGGGAAGTGGGAGGTGGATAAAGATTCCCTCCACCCCACATATTCCTCTGCCCCGTTGACCTGCCCCCTTCCAACCCAACCCCATTGCCATCCCTATTCTATGGTCAGGCTTGAAACCGAGTTTGACATCATCAAGGAAACAAGAACATTCAGGCTTACATTGTCACAATACACTACAATTACAACTGTAAAAACCATAAATAGGCATAGACAGAAATGGAAGTCATTAAACCTGAATTTTGGGCCTCTAAAATGAAGTCATTAAACGGAATTGAGAATTTTGGGCCAGAGCTAAGAAATTGATGGTCTCTAAGAAACAAGATCACTTTGAAAAGCAGGTCTTGAATAGAACTTCAATGTACCTAGGACATTCTCCTTTGCTATCAGGATGCACTGATCTAACACGGGCTTGTACTTCTTTTCATTGTTGCTTTGAACTGTGACTTTGCCATCAAAGTGTGGATGGTGTTTGTGAAATTGCAAATCGCCATGAGAACCAAAGGATCCGGCAAAATACTACCTGCCAAAATAAGTCTCCTTGAATAGAAAGACGTGTAACAATGCAGGTACAGTTACAGCAACTAATCCATGGAAACTAGAAACAACAATGACAGACATCAAGGTGGAGATATGCAATAGATAAGAAGACTAAAATCTCAATGAGAACCCCAAAAAAAAAAAAGTTTTGTAACAATGAGAACCAAAAAAAAAAATCTCAATGAGAACCAAAATACTACCTGCCAAAAGAAGTTTCCTTGAATAGAAAGACGTGTAACAATGCAGGTACAGTTACAGCAACTAATCCATGGAAACTAGAAACAACAATGACAGATATCAAGGTGGGTACAACTCCAAGCATAGCAGTTTTTAGAAGTGACACTCCAACATATGCCTCAAACATACGGGACACCATAACACCAAAAGAGAGAGAGAGAGAGAGAGAGAGAGAGAGAGAACAAGAATAAGATCCATGGAATCTCAAGTCCAGTATCGGTACAAGTTTATGAGTTAATCTTATATACACTGACAGTATATACACTATCACGGTTAGATGCATGGCACATCATCTATATTTTAGTATCTTTTGTTTTAGAATGAATGATAACAGCAAAAAATTATGTTATTTGCTTAGCATATAAAATGGTCCAGTTTGTTTTTTGGATAATGTGAACCAAAATAGGAATGTCATTGTACAAAACAGAACAACATTTAAATTCTACTTTTAAGTACGAAGCTTTGTTCATATTTGCTTTGTCGAGTCGGTCCTGATTCACCTTCGTAGCAAAAAGTATTGGGTAAAAAGGCCATAACTGTCCATCCACACCAGCTGTTTCTCCCCAGACAACATCCATTCTTTTAGCCTGGTAAAATTGAAAAGCACATCAAATGCCAAGATATATGAGAACATAGAAGAAATGAGTTTTCCTCTTTCAAGGGTAGAGGGGGAAAATGATGTTGAGAAATAGCATGCATGGAAGAGCTATTAGGAAAGGTTGGATAGGAAATGACACCTTTCCCAAAGCAATGCGAGTATAGAGTCTTTGCCGTTGGTATCTGTTCTGCAAGATCATTGCAACTCCTTGCATAATAGCCCACTGTAAAAAAGTAGCACCCCTCTCTGCAAAAGATAAATATTACATCATTGCTTTTGTTTCTCCCCATTCCCTCTTATTCATTTTTTTCAAAGCAGCGGGAACACACAAGACAATCAGAAGGCATGTGTGCATTCAAAATGGATAACTATAATCCTAGAGACATTTCTGTTTGCACCTCCTTATGTTTGGACAATGTGCCGTATGGACATTGAGTTCTTAATATATGCAGCTTGGCTTTCTCTGTTTCAGCTCAACCTATCTTGCTAATTGACTCATATGAAGCTTATGTCAATGAGACAACCATACCCTCTCTCCTAATTTACGAGTACATGGATATAATATTTTACTTTGTAGGCATAGAGCTGCACATCCCTCTTAATGACAGAACCTTGTAGAATCTTCAAAATATGATTTCTATATAACTCTTTCAACTAAACTTTTAACAGTTGCTGTCAGTGAAAGGCTAGCATAGTGTATTTCCTTGTAAAAGCTAATTTAAGCATAAGCGAATTTATTTATCTTGAGCTTGAGCTTAATGTTCCATATCCAGTCTGCTGGATTTGAACGGTTTAGGCTATTGGAGCTTCAGATGAAGATTGACTTAAAGTTTGATTCATTCTTCCTTCTTTTCTGCTTCAATTGGAGATTCAGCCAGTTAGGCCCCTTCCCAACGTGAAGCACATTTTCCTTAAGAAGGAAATTAAGATAAACTGATAGTCACTTTAAATAGAAGTGAATTGCTAAAGAGACTAAAAAAAATCTGGATTATTTCCTTCTTTTCTGTCAAGTTCTCCCCCTTTTGTTAGTAGGCATGTCTCCCTATTATTCAACCATCCTTCAACACCTTTTCATGGTATTCCTGTGCAATATCAAAACGCATTTTAATGTTTTTACTTCCTAAAACTTTGAGCCATTTTTAAGTATTTTCTTGTGCTTTTTACCTTTACATTTGGCTTATCATAGTTTGGCAAAAATACTGAAGTAGTTTCTGAGAAGTGCACCCATCTCTGCTCTTCTAAGCACCTTTATTTTTCAAAACTTTTAGGTTAAAACAATCTTACAATATTCTAAAGTGCATTTTTTGTATCACTTTTTTATAAGTAACTGTTAACAAAACTATACAAAAACATGACAGTTTTTAAAATTTAAACCTTTGTTAAATGCTTCTGGCTCAAAAGAGGACCTCTAGCTTGCTTGAAGATTATTAAAAGGAATACTTCCATATAATACCTGATATATTCTTTTTTTTATTGGCAAACTTCGAACATGTGGGATGCCGACCTGTTATTTTATTAATAAAATAAAATAATACAAGGAGGGGACATAAATCTTACCTCCGCAATGCATGATAAATTCGTAGCAAAAAGCTTAAGATTTTCATTTATGGATCAATGGAAAACCTAACCTATCTACTCTAAGTTCTCCTCTCGCTAGACATGGAAGACTCTGTTGTGACAGAAAGATAGTTTCTGTGTGACCCAAACAGCCAGTGTTGGCGAGCTCATCGATATATTCAATAGCTTCAGAAACAGGGAAAATATGGACATTTCAAAGTTCAAAGTCAATGCCAACAATCTCAAGATTCAAAGTTAATTAATTGCCCTTCCATTAGGACAATGAAAAAATATAAAGGAACTGAACAATTGAGACTTATTTGGAAAAGCAAATATCATAAAAATGAACTATACTTGCTTCTTACTGCAGCTTGGGTGCCATTTTATCTCCCAGACTTACAAGAGCTATAACCATGGCTGTGTAACGATGTTACATCCACCTTTTAAAGTATACTTAAAATCATGAAAACAGGTTTATCTGCTATAAATTTTCAAATAATCATGATGCAATCAAAATGAAGTTCAAGAAAGAATCAACTCCAGAAAAGAATAACCTTTTGAAATGCCTCTATTTGTTTCCGCTCCATTATTATGATGCTATAAGTTCAAGATTTCATTGTTGCTTAATAATGTAGTTATTTATTGTTCTCAGTATGGTTTGAATCTTACTATGATTTCTTCAATATAACATGTTCACAATTGCTAAAGGTAGAAGTAGGTTTGCTGTTTGTTGTCCAATTACAAACTTTGGAAATGTTTGTAAACTAATACCAGTTTCTGAAAAGCAAAAATTCGGTTTCTGATTAGCAGTTGTAGTCCTAGCTCCAACAGCAGAGCTAGGATATGAGAGCAGAGGGAAGGATCCACAGAGTGTCCTTTTTTTATGTTGTACTTGTCAAGATGATGTAGGCCAAAGCATGATTTACTTCAGCTACCATAAGACGAGAGACATAAATCTCAGAAAAGAAGAAGTCTCCTAAGGAAGAAAGAAGATTTAGTACCACTCAAAATCAGTTGCAGAAGATGATATTTTCAAAAGGCAAAGGAAAATATATATTTCATTAACATATACTGTGATCAAGGTCAAACTACTTAAATGAGTCAAGATAATGACATGACAACAGTATAGTCATACATAACCAACTCCATTCTAGGCATCAAGATTTGATAATAACAGTGCAAGAAATTACTAGTTGCTGAAAGGAAAGTAAAATATGTTTCTTAAGTTGACAAGTTGCTGAAATCAGAGTATGATATGTTTCTTAAATTGACAAATAGACATGCACATGCCCAAACGTATGCAAGGACATGCACAAAAAACACACACATACACACAAGGGAACATGGCGGATGGCAATAACATCTAACATGTAGCTCACATACACAAAGTTTAGGTCATAAAAGTTTTACTTCACCAAGCTAATGAGTTCTACCTTCCTTCATAATCAGAATTCAGCAACGGTAAAGAGGACATAAGATGGTTAGTATGTCACTAAGGGTGCTTTTAAAGTTTTAAGATCCAACCTAGCACCTATTCTTCCATATAAATCAACAGCAAAGATCACAAAATTTATGAATTTCCAAAGTTATTCTCTGAACCATTAAACCATCTCTTTATTAAACCATCTCAATCATGTTACGTTAAGAAAGTAAATTTTCAAAAAAAATCAAACTAGAAGCAGTTCTCTTCTCTTAGCAATGGAAGATAACTCACATAAAAGTATTCTGAATCTTCTATTTCCTATCAGGCTAGCTGTATGTTGCAAAAACTTGCATATGATCTTTCAATCAAATAGCTCATTGGCAAATTGTAGCCATAAATCAACCTTTGATCTAGTGATTCCAGTAGAAGTAACAAGATTTTGATCATTCAAGCGTGAAAGCCATGAGAAAATTTCTTCCACGTAAAATAAGTAAGATTCAATCTTATAGTGCAAAAGTTAGAAATGAGAGAAGGGAAAAGAAAAATAATGGAAAGTACTTACCATTGACGAATATCACTTCCATTTTTCCTTAAGATATTCTCTCGTAGAGCCAATCCTGTTTATAAGAACAGCATCCAGGACTAGAGGAACGTATGATGAAATTACATTAACACATAACTTGAAAACTCTATGCAGAATGAAATGCAACGCCAGCAGATACCTGTTAGAGCTGAACTGGAAATGCTGGCAAGCATCCATCCCATATCCATCATCTTAGAATAAGCAATCTTAAGGGAAAGAGGAGGAAAAGAAGTGCAGCCTTGTCCTGCTCAATTAGAGATGGAATTGTTAGACAAGATTAGTCAGCTAGGTGAAACGATAACTTCAAAAAATTTGCAGCAAGTGCTTATTTCCTACAACAGATCTGAAAAGTATATATAGGGAAGCCTAAATAACAGCTATAACATTGCAAGTAGTATCACACCTATTCTGGTTCTAGTCAAGAGGTAGAGTAGAGTAACCAAACTCAAATAGGGTCTAGAACTCGTGGTTTGAGTTGAAGCTCACAATCTGCTTGAGTAGCATGCTATTTTATAGTCGTCTTCTCACAGCAGGTCTCAATTGCAAATCTCAAACTTTGCCCATTCGCCTAATATTCCAAACATAAGAAAAAAACCTATGCCCCGACTGATAGACAAAAGCACCCAAGGTAAATTGACAACTGTTGTTGCTAAACAAGATCTTTCACAAGTGGCTCCAGCAACTGTTCACTAGCTTTGGGGAATCTTGGATTCTTTAATACACCACACTGGACAATGAAATTGCAGAATCAAACAGTATGAGCTGGAGAGAATACAATATGAGTGGTTCAGATTATTGTACACTTGTCACTTGTAATTTATCTTTATTGCATAAAAAGAAGGGCTATTATGTGAAATGATAGATGAAGAGATAGAATAAAAAATTTAAAAGTGCAAGCACAGGTACGAAAGACGGGGATCACTCGAGCCAAAACTAACTATAGAAAATAGGGTTAAATGCAGAAAATCACCTGAACTCTCATATGAGTTGCACAATACACCCCTAAATATGTTTATAGGCAGAATGCACCCAAGGTCCACTGAAAAGTGACAGATATTTACACACCGTTTATTTTAGGACTCAAATGACAACTTTATCCTCAAATAATAACTGAACGGACAAAATCACCCTTCTTCTCCTCCAAACCCATTGTGTCGGGCAGAAAGTACAAGGCAAAGCTGATCTTGAGTTTGCCAAATTTTTTGCCTTTTTCTTGCGATCGAGGAAGAACCAAAGCCGAATGACTACAGAGGGTAACTAGAAGTGGGCAAAAGCAAAAGACGGTCTGAAGAATCCAAAAACAAGTAGAATATTTAGAGTATCTCAGCAAATCAGGTAATATGCAAAGCCCTAATTTTTTCTGTATTTAATGGACTTTTTACCCTTTTTTGTATGGATCTGGATGCCCAAAGCAGTGGGCTTTAGTTTTAGAATGGGTATTTGTATGGTTGTGATGGAATATATATATTGCATGTGGTCGTTATGTTCGTTCCATGTCGGGCTGATTGCGACCAAATTTTCTTATCTGTCATTTTCATGCAATAATTGTGTTGTTTATAGGTTTCTTTACAAGATTCTAGTCTGTTGAGCATGGGTCGGTGTTGGTAGTGTCTTTTAAGTTTATTATTGCTAATTACAGTATGTTAATTAAGTTCAATAAAGGTGGTTTTGTGGTCCCTCACTCAGATTTATTGTTTTTTTGTCGCGTACCAGTGTGGTCATCACCGTTGGAAAGTATGTTCTCATTCGAAGTCCATTATGGGGGCCATTTTGTAAAAAATCCAGGACTAACATATGTGGGTGGGGATATAAAACATTTCAATGATATTGACCCAGATTATATGTCAAGATTTGAGATCTGGGGGCTGCTAAAAGGACTGAACGTGCCCATAAACACTCAAATTTGCTTTAAAATGCCGGATGATGAATTTGCCTTACTTAATAGTGAAGCAGCAGTCATGTATATGTTTGGGATGTTTAGGGATGAACCATACATTCATATCTATGTTGGAGAGGTAAATGATAATGGGGATGTAGAAAATAATAATGGGAATCAGCAAGATGGTGTTGAAGCTGTAGGTAATAGCAATATAAATGCTAATCAGGGAGTTGGGACTGGTAATGATGGTTTAGGGGTTGGTGGGGTGAATGATAATGTTGAACCAGAGGTTGATCATGATGTGAATGAATCAGAAACAGAATCTGATGACTCATACACACCTGAAAGTGAGCAATCTTCTGAATATGACTCAGATTTTGATTATTTCTTAGATGGGGACACATTAAGTGATAACTGTGATATTGGTGATGATACTACTGAGGTAACTAGTGGGCTGGATAGCAATATTAACTTAGGACAGTACCAACAATATGCTGAATTAATTAGTGGTGATTATAGAGCCTTTGTTGAGGCTAGGAAAGAGGGTAAGTTTGTTGAGCATGAAAATATTGTTGATGCTGAAGTACTTGAAACTGCCATTCAGTCCTCTGATGATGAAAATAGAGAACAATTTCCTGAATTTAATGAGGAAAGAGACATGGTTGATCCTAAAATTGTGGTAGGCCTCATTTTCCCAACCACACATGTGTTTAGAAAGGCAATTCGAATGTATTCCATCCTTAAAGGTTTTGAGTTGAAGTTCCAAAAGAATGATAGTAACAAAATCATTGCAATATGCAATAGAGAATGTGGTTGGAGAATATATGCGAGTTATTATAGAAAAACTAAAGCAATGCAGTTGAAGAGCTTGAAAGGTACCCCTCATAGATGTCCTTGGTCTTATAAGAATGTTAGTGCAAATTCAAGATGGTTGGCTGAACACTTCAAAAAGGAATTGGCTGATGATCCTGACTGGAAACTTAAGGGATTTCGAAAGACAATTAAAAGAAAGTTCAAATTAAGAGTTTCTAGATGGAAGGTGTATAGGGCCAAGAAACATGCACAATCTGAAATGTTTGGGGATCATAAGAAACAATATGCCAGACTAAGAGATTATTGTGCAACTATTATGCTGAAAAATCCTGGTTCTGCAGCCTATGTTATGACAGAAGTTGTTCCAGCATCTGTCAATCCCATATTTCAGAGAATGTTTGTTATGTTTGGGGCACAAAAGGATGGTTTTATAAGTGGTTGCAGACCAGTTATAGGTTTAGATGCTTGCCATCTCAAAGGAAGACTTGGGGGACATCTAATGCATGCTGTTGGGAGGGATGGAAATAATCAGATGTATCCTATAGCAATGGCATGCGTGGAATCTGAATGTAAGGAAAGCTGGCATTGGTTTCTAGAACTTCTGACTACTCATATTGGATCACCAGTTGACATGAATTGGGTGTTCATTTCTGACAGACAAAAGGTAAACTTGCCATTAAAATTTTCCAACATTCATATATGAGTTTATTACTGCTATAATTAAACCAAATCTGATTGATGATGTTGCTATTTTGTAGGGTCTGGTTGAGACATTTGATGTGCTGTTTCCTGGGGTGGAACATAGGTTCTGTGTTAGGCATATGTATGCCAATTTCAAACTGAGGTTTAAGGACAAGGCACTTAGGGATATCATATGGGCTGCTGCACGAGCATATGAGACAGATGGATGGTCACAAAAGATGAGAGAACTCCAGGTTGCTAATAGGGAAGCTTATGACTGGTTGAGTGCTATTCCAGCTAATCTTTGGTCAAGGTGCATGTTCAATCCAAGATCAAAATGTGATCTTTTGAGTAACAACGTTAGTGAATCCTTCAACCAGTATATTAAAGAGGCAAGGGAGGAGCCAATTTTATCTATGTTTGAAGCAATTAGAAGACTGATTATGTGTAGATACCAAAAAAAGAGAGAGTTCATATCTAAGGTCAAAGGAAAAATTTGTCCAAGAATCCATGATAAAGTGGAGGAAATTAAGGCACGAGCAATGGAATATGAAGCTGTTCAAGCTGGTCAAGGCATATGGGAGATCACAGGCTATGCAGGGCACAAAGTTGTTAATCTGAATGCAAGAACTTGTACTTGTAGAGAATGGGATATAACTGGTGTTCCTTGTGTACATGCATGTGCAGCAATTATAGATTCTGATCAAGAACCAGCAGACCTTATCCATCCATATTATAGTATAGAGTACTATTGTAGAGCTTATAAGGGTATGGTAGTTCCTATTCCAGAAGAGGCTCTATGGGTTCAAACAAGTGGCTTGCCTATTCAACCACCAAAACTAAGGAGAAGACCTGGTAGACCAAGAAAGCTATGAAGAAAAAGTGCAGATGAGCTTGTGAATAATGATGTGGTAACCAGAAAGGGTACTATAGCCCACTGCAGCAACTGTAATATGCCTGGTCATAATAAGAAGACATGCAAGCAACCAAGACAGGTTGTGTATGATGCCTTAAATTGTGTTTAATAATTTCCTTCCTTAGTTTATTTATTAATTTAGTTACTTTTGTAGGATGAAAGTGCCACTCAAACAAGAAGGGGAGGAGGTACAGCCCCTCCAAAAAATGTTGGTGGAAGACCGAGAACGGTTAATGTGGACACACAGAATGTTAATGTCAATATGACTGGTGGCAATGGAAGGGGTAATAGAAGGGGCAGAGGTAATGGTAGGGGAGTGGAATCCTCAATTAGAGGTGGGGCAAGAGGGAAAAGAGGGAGAGGTGAATTTTCAGGATGTCCTCCACCACTTTCTGGATTTGGAAATTGGAATGGTGTTGGCATGTCTGATGGCAGAAATTTCATCCCATCTGATACGGTGATTCAATATTATCTTAGGCATTATGTATATATTTCCAAACTGGTTCATTTTTAACTTGTATTAATGTCTTTCTCATTAATGACAGGTGGCAAGGATGGCCATGCAATCTCATAACACTTCTGAAACCCGGACAGTTCAAATGGTAAGTATTTCAACTGTATTTTTACATTTGCTTAATTTCAGCTGCATTTGAACTAACTAATGTCATGTGTAACTAGTGGACAAATGACCCCCTGACCGGAGGCTCACAATTGAGCACTAATACCAATGCTAATGAGGGTAGTATACCCACTACTCAGGTATATATTGTTCTGCAATTCATATACAATTCATAGGCAAGATAAAGTAAATATACATCACCAATAACTTGTTTTATTTGTACCAGATCCAAAGGCATTCAACAAGATTTGGTGATGTATTGTTCTCCAGTCAATCTTCCAGCACTAGGACTCGTGTGCATCAAGACTCTCAGATACCACCTAATGAAGGTTCATCTAACTGTTAGGATGATAATATAGCCCGTAAAGGATATGTTCCTCTTTTGTAATGGAAACATGCTTTTGAAGGGTTTAGAAAACAGATATTGTCTTTTTTTGTTTGGTTGAACACTAGGATATGCTATTTTCATACTTTGTATTAGTAAAGTGGAAGATGATCTTCCTGGTAGTTTATGCAATGAACTATGGACTAGTTTATGAAGTTACTACCTTTGCTGTTTCCATTGTTATGCTGATTATGTTTTCCACATTGCTTTTTTTTTTTCTCTCTCATATAACCAGCTTATATGACAAACCATAATTTTATACTAACTTGAATGATTCATGTTACATGGTGTTCATGGCAGAAAATACATTTGTTCCTTTTTCTTTTCTTTAATTATAGCAATTACTACTACAACAAGCACCACTACAATTACATATATCAGCTTCCTCCCTTTGGAGTCAGTCCTCCTCCTTTCTTTAAGAGCCCCTTTATACTTGGCCATTTTTTCTTGCAATGACCGGATTATAGTTTTGAATTCTTCACATTTGGTCACTAGCTGGTCATTTTGAAGCATAGTAGCAACTCTTGCATCATTCACTCTTTCAGATGCTCTTTGTAATTGCTCATTCTGTTGCTGCAGATGGTTAATCCTTGCTTGCATTTCTTCCATTCGGCCATGAAAATATTCCCCAATTTCCATTTCTTTTTTGCATGTTTCAGGTTCCACCCATTTAAAATACCCGCATGCATTACTATTCTGTTTAAAACAAAATTCCAAAATAAGTGGCTGTTATTGACTTTGGTTCACTGAAATTGTATGTGAGATTTAGACTTACCGAATAATTGGAACATCCTATGAATTTTCTTCCTGGATTTTGAATGGTCCATGAAGTGCGTACGGGTGCTTTTTTTCCACACCTGCATCTTGAGTTGAAGTTTGTTACATGGTGTGCATTGCTTGAGCTGCAACTATTTGGACTGTGTTCCATATGAGTAGAAATTGTGTATCTGTGAAGAAGAGGAAATACAAGTGGGGAAAATGAGAAGGGATGGGAGGTTGTTCTCATTTATATTCACTGGAAAGAGGGCAATTCTGTCAGCAAATTCAACGGACAGAAAGTGGCTTCCACGCGTTTTGTTTTACCGTGAAATGTGTGAACGGTCATTTTTTCAGGGTGCAAAATGCCTATAAACATATTTCTGGGTGTTTTGTGCAACTTCCATGAAAGTTCGTGGGTGTTTTCTGCATTTAACCCTAGAAAATATGTCCATAGTTAGTATATAGCACCAACGGGAGAGAATACAATGAGTGGTTCAGATTATTGTACACTTGTCACTTGTAATTTATCTTTATTGCATAAAAAGAAGGGCTATTATGTGAAATGATAGATGAAGAGATAGAATAAAAAATTTAAAAGTGCAAGCACATGTACGAAAGACGGGGATCACTCGAGCCAAAACTAACTATAGAAAATATGTCCATAGTTAGTACATAGCACCAACGTGGGCTGATGAGTCTTACAGTTTTGAGGAGATATATTGCATACTGAAAGACTGGGATCACTCCCATTAGAGGTAGGACTGTCAATAGAGTTTGGCCAGCCCGAGCTCGGCTGGTTCGACCTAACAAAAAGTCCGATGAACCCCACTATTGAGTGAGCCGATCTAAGTTTGAGGCTAAAAATTAGATCTGAATTAAATATGAGTCGAGTTTGGGTCTTATTAGGCTCAAATCTGATATAGGCCCAACTCTTTAATTACCTATATATATAATATTTATATTTTGATATTATGTATAATTATATATCCAAATATATTATTACTAAATACTAAATATATATATAAATTACAAAGTACAAAAATACATCTAAAGACTCTTCCATGAGTTTTCTTGAGAACCAAATATTAGTAATGCATAACTAAATTTCTAACTTTTTTTTATTGGTTGAGTAAATTTTTGTATTGGCATAATATTGGTTGATTTCTTTTTGATCTACAAACACAAATCATCAAGCATATTTGGATTTAAATCACAAGATTATAAAAAAAGTTTCAACTTTTAAAGATATTTTGGCTTATGACCGCATGTTTTATTACTATTTTTCATGCATTTTGAACGAATTAAATATAAATATTGTTGAAAAATTTTTGGTTTATATACTTTTTAAGAACTATTAGTTGTTCATATTTAGTTTTAATATTATAATCTTGCAAATGTTAAATTAGTCTTACAACTTAATAATTTTAGTAATTATACTAAGAAAATTAAGGAGTAATAAGTGAGTTTGGGTTAAACCCGATTAAGGCTCACAACCCGAATATTATGTGAGTTGAGTATGAATTTCACATTTATGAACCCGAAACTCATAGCCTGAATCCCGAAAATATTTCAAATTAAATGAGTTGAATTTGAATTTATCAAAACCCGACTCATTAGGCCCGATTGTCAAACCTAATTAGAGGTAAGTTTTGATGAGTCTTACTAACATATTTTCTAGTCATAACACCAAATGGCAAGTCTTACAGTTTTGCCATTTGGGCTGATGAGTCCGTTTACCACCAAATGTCAAAGCCGATTCCATAAGCAGAAAATCTAGAGACTGTGTCTAATCTCTTATCACTCAATCATGGAGCTCCATTTGGATTGGCCTATTTTTTAAAAATAAAATTTTTAAATACAATATTACAATAATAAACAAATAAAAATAAATTTAAAAAATCTCAACCATATAATATATCAAAAACAATTTACAAATATACACAAAAAAGTAAAAAAATAAATTTTACAATTTTTTCCACTTATCACCACTACCACCATCACTGCCACCCACCTCCGCTACCACTCCCTTCCTTTTCCCCCTTTCTCCTTCCTTCTTCCTCCTCCCCTCCTCTTTTCCACCACCCCCTGGCTCTCCCCTCCCCCCTCTCGATCTGGTCTCGAGGCCTCTGGTCATGACCAAAGGCCACGATCTAGTCACGATCAAATCGTGACTAGAAGGTTACAATTTTTTAGTCACGACCTAGCCGCGACTAGATCGAGGGTGAAAGGAAAAGCCGAGAGGCAGAGGGAAGATAAGGAAAGGAAGGAGAGGGAAAAGGCAGAGAAAGAAGGAGGAGGAGGAAAAGAGAGGGGGAGGAGAAAGGAGGAGAGAGGGGGTGGGGTGGGGTGGTGTTAGTGATGGTTGTGAATGGTAGTATTAATTTTTAAAAAGTATTTTAAAAATATTTTAATTTTGAAAGGTACGCCAAAATATATTTCAAAAATTTCTCCAAAAACATCACCAACAAAATCTACAGTAAAGTTTTTCATATATAATACTACAGTAAAATATTCCAAAAGTACTATGAAAAATAACTAATCCAAATGGAATACCCTTATGTTTCCTATTCTTCGTGAGTATATATGTACATAGCCTACAACTATAGCTCTCAGGAGAATACTTTCACCAGACTTGAGCTTCTTATGATACGTTTTCCACCAACATATATGTGGAAAAAATAAATAAACAAGAAGCCCAACCACCCAACACACCTACAACAAATTGTACATGCAACTGATCCTCTGAACTAATGTGAATAGAGACTAAAAACTATAAAGAAGCAGAGATTGGCATAATTTGATGTTCCTGCAAAACAGAGCAAGTTCTGAATCCATTCCTGTAATTAAATTGAGAAACTTCTTTGAGACGAACTGCGTTCTGTCTTACACGCAACCCGCAACACATAAATCCAAGAATCTAGAAGTTTGTATCAAAGTTTGGAGCGGAAGACCTTAATCTCTTGATGACATGGTCAAAGAACTTTGGTATGGTAGAAGACGCCACAATCGAACGTGTTCTTCAATCGATAAGTCGTGAACACTCAAAGAAATTCTCTAAATTGTTCAAAATGCTTTCGTAAAACCCAAAAGAGGCACTCGTAGGGGGTGTGAATCGGAATCGAAATCGGTAATTCGGAATATTAAAATTGAAATTTTTTGGAATTTTGATATCAGAATTTTTGACCGATTTCAATTTCGAATTCACTAACTCCGAATTCGAATTCGCTTCGAATTCAATTCGAAATTCAGTAAATTCAAATTTCACCGAATTCATGAATATAAAAATTATTATTATTATTATATAAATGTTATATTACATATTTATAAAAAAATATTATATATATATATGAAAACGAAATTAAAATCAAAATAGGAATTCCGAATCACCAAATTCAAAAATATAAAAATTATTATTATAATATAAATGATATATTATATATAAATATTATATATATATATGAAAAATGGATTTGAAATCGAAATCGGAATTTCCGATTTGAAAATTTTCATTACCGAATTTGACCCGATTTCGTCTAATTCGAAATCGGATATTCCAATTTCCACTCCGAATTACCGAATTCGAAATTCCGAATTCAATTCGACCGATTTGAATTCGGTCGGTAGATCAGAATTTTTTGATTTTGTACACTCCTAGGCACTCGTACTTTTTTGAAAATTTCTTATTATCACACGTAAAAAGAGTTAGGCTTTTAAATAGCTTTTACAACTCGCATAAGTCCTACCAATACTTGGAAACAACTAACGACACTTGCTCGTACTCCTAACAAGGCCTTAATCGGTCTCACATTAGTCTTAACTTGATCAATTAGTTAGACTAAATACTACTAACGACTAATAGGCAAATGATGCCTAACTTAACCTATCTAACCACTAAACAAATCGAACCATCAATTCGAACCACCTAGGCTTATCAATCCAATCGTGCTTCACTTGAACTATTTGAACTTTTCATGAGTTGAATTAGGTGAACAAATAATAAAGTGTTACCCTCAAGGTCTTCAATATCCCTTAGAACAATCTCTTGATCTTGGATAGTACGAACTAACACTTGAAGTGGATCACGAAACTTCTTAATTCGAGCTCTTGTAATCGGTTCTAAAGGTATACGATCCCTCTCAACTTGTATAGTAGACTGCTGACCTTGTTCTCCATTACTCTTGATATAGCATAAGAGAACTGGTCTGTCTATGAAATCAGCAACGATCATAAAACCAGGGTTTTGGTGTTATCAAGTCCTTTTTAACATGTTACTAGTAGAAAAGTCAAACCTAATGATGCAGATAGGAAAAAAGAGAAAATATAACTATTTAAACAAGTACATGGCAGCAGTTTCCTTTCAAGGCACCAAGTGGTTTGCTCATTTTAGTGTTAATTTGTATTAATTTCTTTCCTACTTGATTAAGGATTTCAATGTTTGTTTAATTGCAAGGAATATAAACATTTCATTGGATTATGATACAAGAACTGGACTTACAGATATTTTGTCCACTGATGACATTGTCATCCATGCTCAATGTTTAACAAAAACAAAAATTGCGACCTTGCACCATGAATTCTTACTATTCTATTAGGTTGCAAAATTAACCATCAATCAAGTTTTTCTGCCACTTGTCCCTAGAAAAACCAAAGTTTTGGTATTTTATTCTTACGATTCCCTGAGTCAAAATCAGAGCCAAAGACGATCCACGATATGGAAGCAAGAAGAAATCAAACATCTACTTGAGTGGTTGGGTTGTGAAACATAGAAATCAGAAATTCAAGATAGCACTTATATGTGTTTTGACATAGTTGAATGTTTGTGATAGAGAAGAAATCTAGAGTAGTGGATTTGATCAGAAAAAAATACTGCAACAGATAGGATTCCTTATCAATTTATGAGGTTTATCGAGGCTGATATAAGGGGAAATAATATGACAAATGGAATTATGTGCCTATATATGATGCTTATCAGACATAGTTAACATAAAATCCACTCGTGCACTTTTTAAATCACCAAAAACAAAAGAATTATTCTCCAACTGTTTGATAAAACCTTCTCAGTCGACTAGTTGCAGAAAATACAATTCATGCATAGTAGGGTGCTCGATAGAAGTCTCAACAGCAACCATAGAAAGCATGCTGTAAATGAGTAACTCTATATGATTAAGTAGTTGCAGGAGAAGGAAGAAGAAAAGAGAAAAAGGAGGAGGGAAGGGGGAAATGGTGGTGGCAACGGCAGCGTATGGTGGTTTTCAATTTTTGTAAAAAAAATTAATCAAACAAATTTTAAATACTAAATATATCTCAATATACATTGTCATAAGACCTAAGCACTGAATTTTCTAAACTTAAATTTAATGAATTTAAATTTTAATATGTTCAGATAGATTTGATAACAAAAAATAGAACATTTGAATTAATTAAATAATATAAAATTTTCTAGGCAAAATTTGCCTCCAAAATTAAGCGATAAGTTATTCACTTATCACTGAATGTAATATATATACTCAAATGTATCAAATTTAGTACTTAACAATTCAATAATTTAATGGATTCAAATTTCAAATTTCAAAGTTCAGATTTTAATTTTCAGACTTCAGTTTTATCAAATGCATCGTTAATACTTGACAATTCAATAGATTCAAATTTCAAATTTCAAATTTCAAACTTCAATTTTTAAATTTTAGTTTTACCAAACACACCCTTAATTCAATAGACAAAAATATTTTTTTAAATTATATAATGCTATTGTGCTGAGTAAATATGATAACAGCAGATTTTTTTAAAAAAAATTAACACCTTGCCTTGCTTAATCAATCTAGCAGGATGTTTTGATATATATATATATATATATATATATATATATATATATATATATATTAAATTACAAGGATGTATTGCTTTTTTAATTTAACGTCCTACTTTCTCTTTGTTTTTTTTTTAAATTCATTTCTCCTGTATTTACATAGGTTACTTGATAAGCAAAACAACTTAAGCATGCCAAAACCAAAATCCTTTAAAGCAGTGTCATCAATTGTCATAAACAATAATGTAAGTAGTAATTGAACCCTATTTCTTTTTTCTTAATAATTTTTTTTTCGTATAAAATTATTAAGAAAAAAGAAATAGGGTTCAATTACTAGTTACATTATTGTTTATTGAGCCCAAAACGAAGAAGACAATTGATGACATAATGGTAAATGTTTATTGATTAATGGTAATTGACATAATGGTAATTGATTATTGTTTATTGTTTATTGCTTTTAAGTATTTTGGCTTTGGCACTCGTAAAGTTGTTTTACTTATCAAATGGTAAATGCAGGAGAAATGAATTAAAGAGAAAGAGAAAGTAGGATGTTAAATTAAAAGAGCAACGCATCCTTGTAAATTAATATATATATACATATATATTCCTGGAAGGTTGATTAAACCACCCATGAATAGATAAGTATGAGTATTTTAAATTTTTACATATGGGTATAAATGAGTTATCCAATAATACTCATTTAATAATAAATGAGTATTATTGGGTAACCCATTAAATCCAATTAACCCATTTAAAATTGTCTTCCTCTAGACCTCATCTCTTTCCTCACCCTTTTTTTTTCTTCAAATTTTTCGTTTTGTCATAATGTTAACTACTTTTGTTTCGTTATTATTATTATTTGTTGGTTTCATCTTATCATTTTATTTTTTCTTAATTTGTTAACTTGCTCATTTTTCAGCATTACCAATTTATGACAAGTTTTAGCTTTTTTTCTTATTTTTTCAAAATGAAATTTTAAATTTCCACATTAGTATTTAGTTCAAATTTTTATATTCTTATTGTTTAATTATTAAATAGTATGTAATTTTGCGACATAGAGTACAGATGGAAAAAAAATTGATAATTAAGATTATTGAGTATTATAAATAAATATTTAAAATTAATGATGGGTGCAAAGGATGGTATAAAACTATAATTGATTACTTAGTTTACAAAAATAAATTTAAATAAATTTACAAAAATTTAAAATAAATGAATAATTTGGTTACTCAATTCATTTTGAGTATAAATGGGTTGACTCACTTCTACCAATTACTCATTTTACTCAATCAAAGCCCGTTCAAATAACCCATTTTGACACTTATAGTTTTGTTTTCTAAATTTTGCTGCTTTACAATTCAAAAAAACATTTTTGCTCCAAGTTATAAAACCACGGATCCTAAAGCCTAAAGCCTAAACCCTAAATCCGAAAATGAAAGAAAAAAGCTTCCATCAACTTCAGGACCCCTTTTTTTTTGGTGTAAAAAAACTTCAGGAATTAATTGCTCAAAATAATTCAACTGCCAGCTCAATCGCCTGTAACCTTCCCTTCACTTGAATAACTGCTCAGCGTGCAATCCTCGGAATGAGGTGATTATGCAACATTAGAAGAGGGAGGGTACTCCTACATGGAATTGGCAGCAGCAACTTCTCTATCTGCTTCTTGTTCTTCTTCACCAATTACTGGGTCATGGAGAACGGCATTTCTATCCCTGAGGGACGAAACCCAGTCCCTACCTTCCCTCCGACAATCTCATATCCAAACCATCCTTCAACTCCTCAACCGTTTCATTTTCTCCCAAGCCGATAATTTAATTCATGTTGCTTCCCTCCTGCCCCCTGACGAGGTAACGCATTACTTCAATTTCCATAATACTTCTCTCTTGCTCTTGTTTTGATTCCGTCAAATCTCGAGAGATTCAATTTTGTTGTGGTCGGTTTTAGGTTGGAGCGGATATTATGCTTTTGATGGAATTGGCTCGGAATATTTCTGATGATGCTGCTGCAGATTTTGACGATGTCACTCAATCCTTCATTCAATTATCCAATTTTGTGAGTAGTAGCAATATTACAACACGTTATAAAGAGCCTGATAATTTTGAGAACTTGGACTTCTTTTTACGTCAAGTTGCATCTTATGCGTGTGCTTGCTGAAATTACAAATTCAAATATCTCGAACCTAGTCTATTTGCTTCATTTTAAGTGAACACAGGAAGATACATGGCAGCTAGCGTGTTCACATTGGAGGGAAATATCGATCTGAAATTTGACGTGATTACACGAACGTCCATACTAAAAAGAGATTAATGTACTTACCCCTGCCCATCTTGCTTCCCAAGGCCCAATCCCAAAAATTGAAAAAAGGAAAAAAAAAAAAAGAAGAAAGAAAGAGTGTGAAAGGTGATGACTTTATTCACAACCATCTGTGCAGATGTACAAAAGCATTCTTGCTATTCTTCTTTTTTGCTATGCATTTTGCCATTCATCTTGTAGATTTCACCTACCTCGATTAGTTAAAGAACCCATCATTTGAAAGAACAGTAAACTGTCTCTAGTATATCAGTTGACAACAGTTGAACTCTGACATACAATTGGATAGGCGTACATTGGATAAAGTGAAGCAAACTGGGCTTCCTGATATTTTAAAACGTTCATTTCTCAAGATTCAACCTTGCCCTTTTCAGTGGTTAGTTTGGTCTTTAACATGCTTCTTTTGGTGTTTATAGTGAGACTTAGTGAAAAAGTATTTTCATAACATCTTTTGCAAATATTTTAGGGCTTTTCATGTAATGGATTGGGAAAAGGATCGGGAGGAATCCAATGGTGACAGATGTGTACTTGTCTGATCTAACTATATGGTCATAATTGCGCATCCAAATTAACTCCAGCACACAACATTGCATTTTCCAAGAATCATGTAATTATGCACTTGTAGTTAATGTCCATTACAAATCTCAGGCTACTTCTTGATTTATTATATCCAGGATGGGAAGTTTCTAAAACTTTTTCAGCCTTTCTTAAGGGTGTTCAACTCCTACTTTTCTATCTGCTGGAATAGAAGCAAATATTGTTGCAAATGTTTCACGTGAACCCCCAAGTGTAACTTTGCAGTTAGACATTTGCTAGAAAGATTAGTTGAAGTCGGTGGATGATTGAGAATGTCGCATATGCTATGTTAGGGGATAGCATAAATTTAGCTAAAGCTGCAGCTTGTGACTGAGGGCATAAAAGTATGCAACTACTAAGTCCATATGTGAAAAGAAGCATAGTTAAGCTAATTATAACTTGACTGCTGCCTCCTCAAGTACAAATAAATGCATTTCCCCCTTTTTGTATGTCACTTTGATCAGCAATAGATTAAGAATATTGCATTTAAAGTCTCTAGTTTAGCAGATTATAATAAAATTATCCTTCATGTCTGCACATTGGCATCTGAAGTTTTAAAAGCAAACATGTTTAGTGTAAAGCAGAACAACACGATGTTGAATTAGGCAACAAACTGGATTGAATCGAGGACAACAGTTTATTCTCTTTCTCTCTCTCTCAAAAGCAGTGCACATGTGAAAAATTGATTTTATAGAGTATTATAAAAAATTTATTCTTTGGTCGCCTTTTTTTTAGTTTGTTAGTTTATTCCTGTAAATCCATTTTCGAGGCCCCAGTGGTTTGCTGGTAAGTCCAAATGAGAATCAGTATATATTTGATACCGTTGCCACTCTTTACCTTAGCACAACTTATTATCTGCTGTTGAAGAATCCTACTTTCTTGGCAAAAAATTTGAATATGCTGCAATTTTCAATGCACTTTAGCACGTTGACAAGCCTGAAATTTGCTCTTTCAATTGCAAAATGTGCTTTTAGTTATTAAGGAAAGATGGTGAAGAAATGAATAGTGGAGATAGGAGCAGGACACTGCATTGATGCCAGGTGCAATGGAAAATGTGCAAAATAATTTGGAAAATTCAGGAATCAAGGTTATTTTCATATGAAGGAGCAAAAGAGTCAACTTTTTGCCTGATCTATCCTGTCTAAAGCTGAGCATATGATTCCTCCCTGTCAATTGGTTGCCTTTATCAGCATATGCAGGGATTTGAACTTGGAACCATTGTGTCAGGATAACTTGTGTCATGAATTTTCAGTTTCATCTCTTAGCAAATACTCCAGACTTCGGACGATCTGAGCTTGGTTCCTGCATACACTTGTTTGTAGAGCAGATAATTATTCTCTTTTGTTATCCAGAGGGAATTAGGAGTACAAGAAAATTGAAAGATTTATCTTTGATGTATGTACCAAACACTTTCCCTACTAAAGATTTTAAGTTCTTGAGTTTTATAGGGATGTTACAGATAATTCAGCTTGGCTTGACTTAATATTAATTATCTGTGTAGTTAAAGGTGATAGAGTGGAGTTAATTAAATCTGGAATGAGTTTCCTTTTTCTCTTGTATGTCTCTGGATGGGCAGTTCCTTAGTGTGGGAAGATGCATTATTTATGTTTCCTAGAACTTCTATAATTTTTAATAGATTATATGTGAAGGAAGTCAGAGGTGGTAAGTTAAACATTTGTATAAGGATTTAGATTTGTCCTTCACTACCCTCTCCTTGCTTCTGCAATTCAGACAGGTTTAATTGATTTGTATACCTCCTCTGATTATGTTTTAGTTCTGTTGGTTAATTTCACTGCATACAAAGTTCTACTCAAAATGCTATAAGCACATTTATAGTCATCTTCTGATGTTTGCTTAATTTTCTATATCACTGTTTATCAGATACATGGCACCATCTCTCGTGTTTCTTTCAAATTGGATGCAGCATCTTGGGTTTTATCACTTGACTGCTTCAGGAGAGTAGTGAAGGCTTTTCTTGGAAAAGCTAAAATGAATGCTGCTTTTATAGAAAATGCTTCTGTCATCAGCGCAATAAAACACTGTCTACAGTCTTCTAGGTACATGAACTCTTAAGTTCTCTGCTAATGTTGATTCGGTTTCTGATCATTACTTTTTTTTTCCTGGTTAAGCATCTTTGGCATTATACAGATCTTTCTGTTGTACCTAATATGCGAAAACTAGGTTCACTTATTACAAGATGTTGAGGCTTGCACGGCTTTCATATTTTTCTCAGGTTACTTTTTGGTGTTTGTCAGAGAACAAACTTGTCATCAGGAAATAAAGAACTGCTAGAGTTCCTTCACGTTGTTATTGCTTGCTTTCAAATGGAGTCACTTTACTCATCTTGCTCAAGTGGCAACAGGAAAGTATCTAAAAATCAATGTGTTTGGGAAGTCCAGAATACTGCTTTCTCCATAATTGGTGAAGTATACTTGAAGGTTGGCAAGTCATTACATATTGACATTTGGGAATCAACAATTAAGGTGCATGTTCTAGTTACAGTTTTGAAAATTCTTAGATTAAAATTAGTGATACATGCAATGGCTACATTAAAGTGTAAGCAGTCTTTTTCTGTACTTTTTAGGTTCTTAGACACGTGATGGATTTCTTAGCTTCTAATGGCCCTCTTGCAGAAGACAGTGTGATGGCCACGTATGAATTTCTACCCCTCCCATAACTGCTTCATGAATCTGCAATCAGTAAAACACTGGTTCCTGTACTTTGCAGGTTTTACAACTCAGCTCTGCATTGCTTACACATGGTTCTTGTAGATTCTAAAGGATCTCTGTCAGCCCATGTAAGGATATGATTTAGGTTTAGTTCATGAGGTGAAAATTTTTATGTCTTCCTACATGTTATGTACATCTCATGCTATATTGCTTAGTTCGTAGGTGGTAAAACTTTTGGCAGGTGGCTGGTTTTGTAGCAGCATTGAGGTTGTTTTTAAGCTATGGTGTTGCCAATAGAAACCGTTTTGTATCACCAGAGGCTGGTCAAGGGAAGGAACTTATTTCTTCCTCAAAAAACCTAGAAATGGCAGAATTAAGTAAATCAGGCTCTGTCCCTTATAGACCACCACACTTGAGGAAGAGGGAATTGAAGAATTTGCAGCGGAAAGATGAGGAATCTCTTTCTTCTGCAGGACTTGAATCTTCAACAGGATATCATGTATCCTCTGATTCAGATTACAGTGATGGTGATGGATCAGCACGGGATCTTAGCATTGTTCGTTGTGACAAGACAAGACTAGCTGCCATTATTTGCTTACAGGTCTATTCACTTTTTTACATCTCTCATAGTTGAATTGTCTCCCATGCTCCAGGAGTTGTTGCACGTTGGTTGGAAAACTATGGTTTTCAAATCTTAAAAATTGATTTTGAATCTCAGCAGGATTAACTGTAAATTACTACAAGATGTGTGAAATCAAGTGCAATTGAAGATTCAGTAGATGGTAGGTCAATAACATATCTGATGTATGGTTCACCCAATAACATATTATCGGATCAAAGTTAAAGCTTGCTGAAGTTGTATCACCATTTGCAGGGGAAGAGAACAAGCCATTAGAGTAGAGGACTTTCACAGAGACATCCATTCACTAACTCAAGAACGAATAAAAAAGAATTTTCATCTCTAATTCCCTTTAGGCCTATCTATCTCCTTCCTCCTAAAGACAAACAAAATGGATCAAAAAACCCTATTGTATAACCCCCACTAGTCCCCAGCACATCCAATGTTAACACAAGAACTCTGTTTTATCTCTAAATCTAGGTCATTTATCCTCGTCTAATTCCTCATCCTTTTTTTTCTTCAAACTTTATCTTGTTTACTCTTCTGCATTACTGATGAATAAGGTTATCATCCGGATAATATGTAACTCCCTTGAGAATTTTGAAGTGGATACATACATTGGACTCGAGTTAAAATAGAGATGTCTGAAGGAATGACCTTGAAAAGGAAGGTTTCTTGAAATTCCTTAATATTACCCTTATGTACTAACCAAGAGCAAAAGAGAATTGCCTAAATGAAGCTTCCAAATTCACATAATTGTCATGTGACCACTTCAAATACATATTGCTCCCAATCTGCATGTTTTCCACCTTTTAAGTTGTCAAATAGACATGATTATTATGGATACACATATATCATGTCTTAGCTTAAACTGTCATGGTGTTTTAAATATTAGTCTTGTCTAACACGTAATCTCTACGCAAATGTTCGCCTTGATGAACCAGTACTTGTTAGCAGTGGTGGAGCCAGGACCCCCAAGGTTAGGGGGTGGCAACTGCTTTAGTGTACAATGGTTATGCCAATGATTTCAAAATTGTAAACAGTTTTGAGTACAATAATAATATTGAGACAGTTGTGGCAATTATAGTTCTTTAAACAAAAATTCAAGTGAACATCATTCCTTCATTTTTATGTACAAAATTTTTTTAAGATTCTTCTTTTTTATTCGGGCAATAATCAATTTTCCTTTTGAATGTGTTCATGCTCAAAGCAGGTGTTAAATGTAAGTACTTTACAAACTTAGGAGGCAATATAAAGAAAGAAAGGAAATTTGAGAAATTTCAGAGGGTCTAAATGTAGGACAGAAAATTTGTAAAAATTGTCATGCCAATTTTAGGAACTTTTAAAGTTGAAGGGGGCACTTGAATTTGGCTCCTCCCTGCTTGTCAGGCAATTATTGACTGCTATACTATGAAGATATCATGCTTGTTAGCTGTTGAATTTTGGGCAGTGTTTTTGAGATGAGTATTTAAGCAATTTTACAATATATTAGTCCTGACACGGTTTGTTACTGAATTTGATTGGAAGGATCTTTGTAGAGCTGATCCTAAATCATTTGCTACCCAATGGACAATGCTTTTGCCCCAAAGTGATGTTCTACAGCCAAGGTTAGACCACTGTGCTAATGAGTTAATGCTTTTTGTCTATGTTTCTCAAATTCTCTTATGCCCGTTTATGTTTTATTGATCATTGATAGGAAGCATGAAGCAACTTTGATCAGTTGCCTGCTGTTTGATCCTTACATAAAGGTTGATAGCTCCCTCTGATATATTTTGCATGAATCTAGTAGGATTGCCCTGTGATTGCAGATAAGATGCTCTCCCTTGTATTGGAAAATTTTGTGACTGAAATATGCTTTGATGGCCAGGCACGGCTTGCGTCTGCCTCTACTATTACTGCGATGCTTGATGGACCTGCATCGGTTTTCCTACAGGTTGCAGAATTTAAAGATACCACAAAGCGTGGATCATTTACAGCGCTTTCCAGCTCCCTTGGTCAGATCTTAATGCAGCTTCATTCAGGTTAGGATAATGGATATGTAATGTATTTTTGGTTGCTGGATTTGCTATCTGACAACCGTGTTCCCTTAAAATATCCTTGGCACTTTTTTGTCCATTGTTAATGCTTTGTTGTCTGAACCCTACATGAAGGCTGTGTTAATTCTGAATCTTTGATTTCCATTGATAGGCACTCTGTACTTAGTGAAACATGAAAAGCATGGGGGATTACTGGCGTCCCTGTTCAAAATTCTGACACCTTTGATATCATCTACTCCGTAAGAGTCCTTTGCTCTTGTCGATTCTTGTCATTGCTGTAAATTGCTCTACAACTACTTTATTTTGGTTTAACTGCTGTTTATTGTCATTCTTGATAACATGCCCTTGGCATGCTTTCTTTGATGGTTTATTGTTGTTGTGGCAAGAAAAATGAATCATGTAGGAGCCTACTTGAAAAATTTAATTATTCTTTGACTTCAGCTACCTTGTCCTTTAGCTGAACTACCGCAGACCCCCTGAACTTTGGAAAGCCACATTTAGAACCCTTGTCAGCTATTTGTTGAAGATTATGTTGGAAGGAAGATGAAAATTACCTAATTTAGCTAATGTGTTGAGCAAGTCTTCGGGAGGAAAATGAAAACTACCTATAGACTCTCCTTACTGCCTGCAGCTGTACTTCACCCACCAAATGCCATCCACTCCTATCCTTTCTACTTCCTCCTCCCCCTCCCCCCCCCCTGGGTGGCGCGTCCCCAAGAAGAAAAAAAAAGATTTTCCCTATGCCCTCATGCATCTCATCACCCTATTCCTAATTCGTCCTTCCCTCTCTTCTTTGCTCCAACTCCAAAGCAGACCCATTCAACTGCATCTTTCTTTTTCTCTGCCCACCATACCTAGGCCCATATCTTTCCCCCTCTATCTCCCTACCAAACAGCCACTCACCACCAACTAGCATCCAACTGCGTATCTGTTCTTGTTTGTTTGATGATTTGTGTGCGATGTTTCTTTATGTGGCTGTTTTCACTATGTGTAGAATATACATGTGTTCTGTCTCCAGTCATTTTTTGTACAAGTAATAATGACTGTCCAAAGTGCTTGCTGGTGATTTTTTCTGCATGCCTAGTGCTGTTTGTTTCTCATTGTGTAATTATCTGTCTTCTGTGTGATTTGTGCCAGCCGTTCTGCTAATTATTTCTTATTTTCTTTACTTTGCACTCAAGTTTATACATCTTGCATGGAATATCTGTGGTCTGTGTGTCTGTGTTCCCCGTGTTCTTTCTTTTTTAGCAGAGTATTTGTTTTTTATTTGGTTTATGGTTCTTTAAGGTGATTTTAGATCTGATGCACAGATTGACTCAGATTTGATTGTTGAATATATGGTGAAAATTAGAAGCTAGAATCATATAACCAAATCTAGTGTATCTATTGAGGGATGCAACTATATTTTTTGCAAATACTGTGTAAACAGAATTTGTACATGGAATACAGCCTTCCAAATTATAAGTGTATCTCTGTTTACATCTAGTACCGGTTAGATCACTCTACAGAAAAGATTCTTTTGCATGAATACTTGATTTTTAGCAACTAATTTATAGATGGTCAATTAATTTGTATGTTACAGATATTCAAGAATGCCCCCAGGGTTGCTGCTGACAGTTATCTCTTCGGTTCGAGAAAGGATCGAAGATGGCTTCTTAGTTCGAATTGACCAGACAAGCCTACTGGTGAGTGTTATAGTGCCACATACATAATTATCAAAACAGTTATAGATTTCCTGAATTGCTCTTACTGGGAGGTAGAAGCTTATTAAAATCCTATAACCATTTTTTTTGTTCTTATAGTATTTTGATTTGTTAGGTTTTCAATCATATCTCTTACTGACTGGGGATTCTGAAGGGCATGCTTTTGTGTGATGTGTGGGTTGAAGTTGCTAACTCCATATCATGCCACTTACAAGACGGATGCGTATTTGAAAGTTTGGTTAATGGTGATTGAGATGCTTTTCCACTAACTTATATGATGCAAGGGAGTCGGCTCGTGTTTGCCAATTGAATAATCTAGCTACTATCTTGAAAATATGTTAACCTATCTATTGGTCTTGTGCAACATGTATTCAGCACAAAATATTGATGGACTTTAGATGGTTTAAGTAAATTTATTACCTTAGGCTACAGGCTATTGGCCATTCCATGACAAAGTCTTTTGGTGGAAGACCTTGTCCAACTTGCTGATAACTTCTTACTTTTCTAGCTTTTCAAGTTGTTCAAGTTGTAGATATTTAAGGGCACGTGTCAGATATTGGAACTTTACGTAACATGTAATGCCAGTCCTTTTTTGTGGCAGTGGCTGTAACTAGCTTGTGTTAATTTTGAATATCTTCTCGAGATGTTTGTTACCTAGTCTTCTCTGCAGCTGTAAATGATTTTGGGCTATCAGAAAACATTTCCGGTTCCAAGATCTTTACAACAGGCTTGTACAAGTAGCTGCATAGAAGGTTATTCTGTATATTTGGCATATAGCGTATGCTTAGGGTTACTGCTTTTACTTCCTCAATGCTACTATATGAAAATCTAGGCGAGATAGCATCAGGGGCATTGGGAGGCTACATAAATATTTGTTTAGTTAGTATTACTTATTAATGCATGATGGCCTCTTACATCAAAGATAAGTTCTAGAGCTCATTTTTCTTATGTTTTTAATCTGAGCAAATAAACCTGCACATTTTGTTTTCAAGCTTTTCCATTCCAAGATCTATAGGGATCATGTTTGATGAAAGGACAGAATATATTTATTTAATCTTTTTAATTCGAATTTTGATTTTCCTTAATTTGAAACCATAGTACCCATGAGAAAGAGGCTGAACCAATGACTTTTGAACCTAAATCACTTGATGAAAATGCTTAAGCCAAGTTATTAGTATTCCACTGCCTTGGATATCGTTAATCAATCAAATCTCTCAATCTAACTGGTGTGGAATGTAGGGGTGTTACAGAACCTTCATTAAATTATCAAAAAACGATTAAAAAAAAATACAAAGATGTTCGGCAAGTAGTTAATTGTTGAATTAACTACTATCAATTGTATCCATACTGTCGAGATTTTCACAGAGGAGACATGTTGCATTTTGCAGTGGAGAGATGTTGCTTTTTGCTGACTGCTATAGATTAAGGAAGATAATCGGGCTTGCATAGTTTTCTAGACACATTCTTTATGAGTTGTAACTTCTGTCCTACACGTCTTCCTCCTGTACATTGACATACATGCCAAATTACACAAGGTAAATTATGCTCGCTGCCATTCTTCATTTGTAGGCTGCAGCTTTTGATTGCTTAACGGTAGCTTTGTCTGTCTCACCCCCCTCAGTTCAAGTCAAACATATGCTTTTAGAGGAAGTTGGAAGAGGTAAGCTGCTTTAATAAGTTCTTGCTTTGCTTTTTATGTTAATGATTTTATAGGGTTATGTTATTTGTGTAAGCATGACAGAGCATTCATGCAGCGCTAATTTTACTTTGCAACATGCCCATTTTCCTCAAGTCTCAACCCCCTTCCACCTCATCTGAGTTTAGCATATTTTGATAAAAGAAAAAACAAACAAGTAAAACACATAAGCAAGTATCCAAATCATGGTGTACTATCTCCCTTTTAGGATATTTTAACAATCTTATGATAAAAATTTATCTTAATTTCAGATCTTAAAGTTGTATATACTCTTTTAAGTGTTTTTGGTGGAATATTTTCTAAGTATGGCAACCATTGGAACTGGGAAATGAGCGAGAATGGGGAACATCAGCTTAGAAAATCAAGTGTTAATTTGGATCTGTAGGACTTAAGTGAGCCCTTACTGAGCTGGCATAAGATATTTTGGACCTACTATAAATTACATGCTTTTCAGCTTTTTTTTTTTTTTTTTTTTCAGTTTCAGTCAGCTGTTTATTTATTTTATTTATGGTGTTTTTACAACTTCTGAATTACTGCATATAGGTTTTTTAAGTCTGTTCAAGTTCTTAAGTTGTTTTTTTGTCTATTTAGCTTGGAGATATTGAGAATTTCTCAAGCATTTATGTCTATGTCAAATTTGGGACAGAATTCTAACCTTGGTTGTGATGCTTATGTTACCGGATGGGTGATTTTAACACTCCCCATTGCTTCTCTGGGCAACTTACATAGCTCTTTCTCCTCAAGCCTGTACACATTGAAGCTCTTCGGCCCCATGAACAGCTCCTCAATCCTTTTTATTTGAAATTTTGAGACCCAGAACCTTTTATGCATATTGCACCCCATTATTTCCCTTTAAATCCACTACTTTCATTGAATTTATGCTGAGAAAACTGGAAACTACAGAGATATATGGCTTGTTATGCTCTGGTATGATAGTCTGAGCCACCTTTTGTCCTTGTATTAGAACTTCAGGGGTGCCTTGTGACCGTGAATGAACTTATCAAAGAACTTAGTCACTGAGTCTGTGGTTAAGGCTTTGATGGGTTATTTGGTTTCTTTTGGTTGATAAAGATGTGTTGATATCTTAGCCTGTTTCAGTGGTTAAGGAACAACCAAGATAATGGAGATAAGGTACCTTTTGAATGAAAACTCCAAGAAATCGAAAAAGGAACAAGTTAATAAAATCTTGAGGATCAGGAAAATCAAAAGTAAAACTTAATTTGTCATGGACAAAAAGTTATTTGTACTCCTTTGGAGGAATTTTTACTATGGTTCTAGTTTCCTATTAAATCGCATCTGAAGCCTGAATCGATTTCTATATATGTTTCCATATATTGTTTACTTTGGAGATGATAAAGTTACTCTAATGGTTATTCAGGTTTTCTTGAGGTGCAAAAGAAGCCTGGACTGTTATATGCATTATTTTCGTATTCTGAACCATTCAGGAGCCCATCTATAAGCTTTGAATCACTACAGGTAATATTTTATAATTCTCAGAGGAATTCTTTGATCTTTGTATTTTAGTTACTTTTGTGGGAAAATAATAATTCTGTTCCAGGTGCATGATGAATTTTTTCTGATTTAGATGGATATGCATATAATGTTACAATCATTGAACGAGTAGCACATGTTGGATGTTTTATGGTGTGAATTCTTTGGTTTGTTCTATGGTCTTTAAAGAGAATTATGATTCTGTTCAAACATTTAAGGATTCACACCTCTAAATCTAACGCTTAGATCAGTTATTGAGAAACTATGTTTTGTCTGATAATAGAAATTCATCTATACACACCCTGGTTTTTGAATGATATATGATAATTAATATTTTACCTGGTTGGCTTAACTAATTTTGATATTAAGCGTGGGGTTGCAAATCTTGGTTTATTTCTGCATTGATAACTGATCTGCGACACTTTGAGTACGTAGATGGTTGTGAACTTGAAAGTCCTCTTCTCTCCTCTTCTTCCCTGCCTCTTTCGTTGTTAAATTCTCCTTTTTGTTTTGGTTGCATTATTTTTCTGTGTTTTAGTTTTGCCAATTTCTTTGACAGCATAGGCACCTAATTTCTGATATTCTTGTTTTGATAGAACTATTAAGATATTATGTTTCTGGTACTTGTAGCAGTAGTGAAAACCGCCTAGAATCTTGTGTGCAATTTGTTGCCTACCATTTCTTCCAAATGTGTCACTGTGATGATCTTAGTTTATGAAGCTTAAGCAAATGAGGGAGAACAATAACTTTGTGGATATTCCATTATAAGTTATGAAGTTTTCTGCTAACGCGCTTAATATTTCAAGCTTTATGCACTACAAATGTCACATTGTCTTTCTTTTTTCTATGGTCTATACATGCCAGATCATGATGTGTCATACCCCCCTTGACTGCTTTTGTGCACAATATGGTATTGCATCCATATTGTGCAATATCTAAGTATATCTACAGTTGTAATAGCTTCTTTCTGCATCCAATTGATTGAGATAGGAAGTGCTATTTAAGAATACATAGGGGATAGCGTGCTGTAGTATTGTCTGTGGATTTTATGCTTTCTTGCCCGAGTTCTACATATTTTAGATAGGGTAAAAAACCTCAGCGGCCATTAAACTATTGCCCACAACGACTTTTGATCATCAAACAATTTTTCATCACAAATTAGCTACTAAACTAACTAATCAGCACAACTGTGGCCATTTCGTAGATTTTGGCTCTTAATCTAGAAAAATAATTAGAACACGTGTCAAAACACAAGGATATTTTTGTCCACCACTAACTCGACATCTCTCCCCATCCACTTGGCTAAAGCAGAAATTTCCCAAAAAACCGAAACATCTTCTCCATTCCAACGGAACAGAGGACAATTGTTGCGTTATCTTCTTCTTCTCCGGCAAAGCTTGTCAGCTTCTGGCAACACTGGACCATTGCCTCCTCTCTCCCAATCATCAAAACATAGTACATACAATAAATTTCGTTGGAACAACCAAGAAAAGGGAAGGAAAACAACAAAAATAAAACGAAAATTAGATTAAAAAATCTCTTGATTTCTGGCTTGGGTCTGCTCACCAGTGAACACGTGGGCTTTGACCAGCTTTGGACTGGCCGGATTTCCTCCCTTTTGCTCATACAGATTAAAAGAACCCAAACTCCTTTTTCACAACATTTTACAAATGCATTTCATCAAACAGATTTCGGCATAAAAAAGATTGAATATTTTGTAAGAAAATCAGAAATAACCAGGCCAAAATTTTGCAGAAAGCTAAACTAATTCGAACCCAATCACAAAAGGTAGAAACTAAACTAAATAAACAATAAATCACCATTTTCACAAATATTAACACATAAATAGGGAAGAGAGAACCTTCACAATTCTTTTCCGATGAAGACTCATGGTGGTGGTGATGGTTGATTCCAGTGAAAGGCAGTGGCAGCGACAGCTGCTGCTCCTTTCCCGTCAGCTGTTGCTTCTTTTTTCTCTGTTTTTCTTGGATTTTCATTAGTGAAAGCTCAAAAGACAGTTTCTAAATCTATTTTAAGAGAAAGAAAAGGGGAGCTTTTGGAAGAAATCCATGGTTATGGTTTTTAGATGATGGCTGAAATTGGGTTGTGGATGATTCTTCCCCAAACAGATGAATGATGGATGGATGTGAAAGCGCGGGTTGTCGTCTTTTTCAGCTTTTCTATCCAGAATCCCCCAGTGATGAATTGGAGTAGTGGTACTAGTACTGTATGAGCGTGTAGGATGTCGAGGAAAGAAATAATGGGGAGAGATGTCGAGTTAGTGGTGGACCAAAATACCCTTGCTTTTTGACACTTATACTGATCATTTTGTAGATTAAGAGCCAAAATTGACTAAATGGCGACGGTTGTATTGATTAGTTAGGTTAGTGACTGATTTTTGATGAAAAATAGTTTCATGGTCAAAAGTCAACACAGACAATAGTTTAATGGCCGTTGAGGTTTTTGGCGATTTAGATATGGTCGAGATTCACTACATCATATTAAACTTTTTTGTTTTAAATATGATGTGGATCCTATCCCTAAACAATGACATATTATTCTGTTTTGTGGGAATCAAATTCATTGAAAAACCCTATGAAAGCCAAGCGAATTTGCACTAATTAACAACCCTCTACTTCTCTCTAACACTAGCTTTTCTTGGGTATACAAGAATGAAATGCACATGTAAATACTGGTATCCAAATGCATATTTTAATCTCTATGTATTTTTGTCCAGGCCCTTAGAGCTGTGGCACATAATTATCCGAGTGCAATGTTTTCATGTTGGAAAGAGGTGTCCTCTATTGTGTATGCATTTTTGAGATATACCCCCGATGTACAAGCAAGATTGCAGAAGATTAATGCTGGATGCACTGGTGGGCCTAGCTGGGAGAAAGTAATTACAGCTGCAGTCAAGGTGTGATTGTCCTAATCTATTTGTTGTGTTCTGGTCTAATTTTTTCCTGTTCCAGTTTCTTTTCTTTGGCAACATTTAATTGCATATGTGCATATGTGATTTCTTTTTGCTTGAGAATTATGTAGGTGTTGTGATTGAATTGATAATCCCTTACGAATAATAGCTGCCTTGCTATTGAAGAGTCACAAGCGCACTGATACTGTATGCTCCTAGTGCTGAAGGGACACCCTAATGTGTGTGCAGTTAACTAAAAATATATTTATCAAAATTATTTTGCTTTATAAAGGTTTTCTATTGGTCAGATTCCCTTCTAATCTAGATAATTGTATGAAAAGATGATGGAAGTTGAGAGGAATATGTAGGAGTTGGTGTGAGGAAGTTCTTAATGTGTGTGGATTTTCTGCTGATTTTTTTTTTTGGGGGGAGGGGTGTTTGGAATGGATTTGGACGAATTTGCCCTTGTTGTTAAGGGTAGATTAGGAGCTTTAGAAAGTGACACTGTGTGTTTACACCACATAGTGACTCTCTACCTTTACATATTCTAAGATGTCAAGTTACTTATCAACGAACCTAAAGAAACATCAAGGACAATTTAATTATAGGAACTAGCTTCTGCAGCAAGAAAGTGTGTTCCTTTCTTTCAGAAAGAAAATGGGTATTATGGGAAAGTTATGAATGTTTGCAATTATCTTTCAGGTGAAATAGTATCAACACTGTTTGCAAGGTGGCATTTGGTGGATAAGAGTTGTACATTGTGCTAAATATTAAATGTGGAATTTGGATGGTAGTGATGTTGGAGAAGCTAGTGGAACATGATTTATGAGCTAAATGGCACAATACTTGCACTTGATCTGGCAACAACTGTTTTCTTCTTTTAATTGTTATGGAAAGCGATTTCTTTAGTTCTCTGTTTACTGCTAGCATGTTGAGTTCAGATGCAAAGATTGAGGATAGTGGTTGAATGATGACTAATTTAGAGGAAAGTTCTTATACATGTAATTCTTAAGATTTTTTTCCCTGTAGTACCCCTGTTTTTCTCTATCCTGCTTTCTTCTAAGACTAGAACCCTTCACATTTCTGATTTCATTTTCATGTACCTTTAACTTTTCTAAGTTGTATCTGAGTCCAATTTTGATACATCTTTTCTCTTTTACCACATTTTGGTTGCCCTACATATTCTATTGTATATTCTCTCTATGTTTGTGCTGGCATGCGTAATGAGAGTTCGCCTGACGATTTGTCTGATGTCAGTTGGTGGGCTGCTATGGAAAAAGAGATGAGGGCTTGACATTTGCTCCATATAAACATGTTTCTCCTTTGTGTTGCTTCTTTAGAATCTGTTCTCTTCTTCAGAATTTACCTGGCACTTTGTCAGATATTGGTTGACAGGATGCTATGCAAGAGATTAGGGCTTTTGCATTCTTTGGCTCATTTTATGAGTATTTATGAGTTTGGACGGACATGGTTTTTGTTTTGATAAAGCCATCTATCTTAGTTTAAAGTCTAATAATAGGCATCTAAGGCTTTTGACATGGACTTTTTTAACAGGTTTTTGATGAATGCCTTCGTGCAATTTCTGGATTTAAAGGCACTGAGGATCTTTCAGATGATAGACTTCTTGATGACCCATTTACATCTGATTATATGAAAATAAAGACAATTTCATCTGCTCCATTTTATGGATCTGAGAGCCCGGCTTCCCCTACTTATGAAGTTAATTTATTCCCTCGGGGGTGTGAGCAGTGGTCTGAAGCAATAGCCAAGCATATGCCTCTTATTCTTAGACATTCTTCTGCTGTGGTTGGTTAAGCAAGAACATTCTTCTTACTCATCTTATTGCTAATGTATTTTTGTGTCCTCGCGAGTTCTACGGATGAGTAACCTCTGTGCTTGACTCTTTATGTTACTTCCATGAGAATTACTCTCACTGAATATCATCACAGTATCTCTTTTGGTTGGCCTTTCTTTAACAGTTGTCATATTTTTCCTAATTGCTTGCTTACATAGCATTAGCTTTCCATTGGTCAATTTTAGGTCCTACTACGTACCATTTTTTTGGTCATATTTCATCATTTTGAACTCAACTGTGTGAAAATTTCCGAGGTCTTTGAAGCTATTGACCGTTTACTTCTATGGAACATTATTCATCCAATTCCCGCAATAGCCTTACGGCTGCCTATTACCACCTTTACTTTTCACCACATTTGTGCAACAACTTTCTCATTTATCTATCAATATCACTACCACCTTGACCATGGCGAGTTTTTGCACAAGTACCTCAATGTAATCCTGACACACCTGCACATTGTACTCGCAGTCCCAATTTAAATGTCTTCCTTTTCTTGTCCTCCCAAATAATGTCTACTTTCGATAAAGGGGCATTTTTATATATTAAAGGTTGCAAACCATGAAAAAATGATGTTTGCATGTTTCCCTCTGTCAAATTGAATTGTTATATAGCTTCAGCAGTTCCTTGATACTTAGCTTTTGTTGTTCAATCAGTGAATTTATTCCATTACTGTGACCATTGTCTACTCATGGCAATAACAATTTCTGACACTTTTCAGTATTGGTATTTTTGTGGTGGATTTATTTGGTAATCTTTCCTAGATTTTTATTGTATGGATACTTAGGTATGTATGTGTATGTTGGTAAAAAATAAATACCCCCCACATACTTGCCTATGAAAAAGTATTCGTTGCGGTTTCTGTTTTACATTTTTTTTTTTTAATTTTAACAATTTTCTGATTCTTTTAAGGTAAGGGCTGCATCAGTAACTTGTTTTGCTGGATTGACTTCACCTGTTTTCATGTCACTTCACCAAGCTGAACAGGACTTTATTCTTAGTTCTTCTGTAAGTTCAGGACAACCTCAATGGTTCACTAATACCTGATCAAAAGTCTTACTTACGTTTTCATCAATCAGACATTATATGCTACTGAAATTGTTGCAGGTAGATGCTGCCCTGAGTGATGAGGTTCCTTCAGTAAGGTCGGCTGCTTGTCGTGCTATTGGTGTTATTGCTTGTTTTCCGCAAGTAATCCAGAGGTAGTATTTTTTCGATAATTGTTGATGAATAGATAAATTGGTGGAGAACGCTTTGAGTAATTTCCTCTATACAGTGAAGAGATCCTTGACAAGCTTGTCTATGCTGTGGTGCATAACACGAATGATTCGCTTGTCTCAGTAAGTATTTCAATCGTAAATAGCTCAATTCATCCCTGCAAGTTAACGATATAGGTTTGTTTTTAAGTAGGCTTTTTTGTTTTATAATTTTCAGGTGCGCATTACAGCCTCATGGGCTTTAGCAAACATATGTGATTCTCTCCGCCACTGTGTTGATTTGCCTAGTTTTACAAGTGGTTCAGGAGGTGTGGTCAATGGCTCCATCTAGAGGTCTTGAAATCTGTATCTTGAGAATTTTCTTCACTACTAATCATATCTTTTTTTGATGTGTTAGATTCAAAGGGGAGCTCTGAATTGATTTCTATCCTTATTAATAGTGCTTTGCATCTATCGAAAGACAATGACAAGGTGAACATGGATGACTGCGTTTAGTCTTCTTGTGAACTTTCTTCTTCTCTTGCATGTCTTATGCTCTGGCATGGTACTAAGAGACAGTAGCTCTTTCCTTTTTTTTTGGGCTGTAAGCTTCAGCCTGAAAGCATTGCGAAGGAGTAATTCGGAGAAAGTACTCTTAGGGATGCTATCAGAAGCCAACTGTGATTGAACTTTAATTGGAATATATCTTTCTGGCCCTGTTCCCCTACATTCAGTTAATGGCATCTAGTGAACCTCTATGGGCCTGTGTCACTTTCTGCACTTGTGGATTAGGCTGCAATTGAATGGAATTTGAAGGAAATTAATACACAGAAAATGAGGAAGTTTTCTGTGGTTTATGGTTAGAAAGAGCAATGTTTGACCGTCTAAAAGTTGAGTTTAACATGCTTGATGTAGCACTTTATACCTGGTCTGCACGCATCCGGTTAGCAGCCTGTTTTGATAGCCTTATTGCCTTCAGCTTCAACTGCCTCAACATCTTTTCTAGCAAAATACTTTATGATTTTATTGCACTCTATGTACAATGATTTTAGATCTAACTTCTAACATCCTAACTTGATTTATAATGACACTTTCAGGACATTTACTGCTAGCAAGTGACCATATCACTGAGATAAACTTCATGATAAAAACACAAAAAGGTTAAAGAAATATTTATTTGGAAATTAATTGTCTAGCTCCCTATTACTTGAGGCATGCGAAATCAGTGCTAGGCTCTGGAAGCGTCTTTGCCATGTCTTTGTACTTTGTAGTTTATTCTATAAATTATTTCTTTCAACTGGTATCCACCTTTTGGAGTATACTGCAGATATTGTAATCATTGTAAGATAAAGGGATTGAAGTTGTATTAGACTGCGTCTTAGTTGCCCTATTTGTGTCTTGTTGCTGTAATTTGTATCTGCAGCAATGCTGATTAAGTTCAACCTCTCTTATTCAATTGCTCATTAAATTATCATTTGCAATACTATCCCTTCAAGTAGTGGCGGTGCCAAGATCCGAGGTCATGGAGGGCAACCATCTACTTTTGAGCATTGGAGGGGTTACGTTTAGAATCAACTACCTTGGTGATAGTTGGAGGGACTGGGTATTCAAAAACAAAACCTTGGTGGTATGAGGCAGCTACCGAATTTGAAAATAGCCAGTTATTTATACAATAAGTATTGTATTATCATAAGTAGTTCAATCAAAACAACTAATCCTGTTGTTGCCAATGATTCATCTCCAGCTTCCAAAATAATTTATTGAACCATTCATACCGTGCACATATAACATGTAGGAGCAATTGCAAAGCAAAACTCTATATCTATAAGAATGGAAGATAGAAAGATCATGGTTTTATTTTGTTCAGTAATGATTTATTTAGTGTCAGATAGTCCATGCTGCTGCAACATGTGGTAGAATTGGATTATGATTGCTCTTCTCCATATTTTTGTTCTATCTCTCTTTAGCATGTCTTTGGCAGGACCATGAAAATTATCATAGAAAAGCAGGTAAGTTTAATTACTTGTAACACGTTTATATATTGATCATAGGGCAAAGTGCTCGACTATTTCTTCCTAGATACAATTGGTAAGCCAATGCAAAGTAAAGGTCTTTCTGCTGAATAATTACTCATGACCATTGTTCTCTTTTATGGCTTGTCTTAGGTTTTAATTCTGTTTTTACATTTTTAGATTAAAGCAAATGCTGTCAGAGCTTTGGGGAACCTTGCAGGATTTGTCCCATTTTCTGGTGATTTAGTTAATTGTAATGAGGGATTGGGTCCTAAATCCAAACCTCTAATCAATTCAAGTGTCAAGCATTTATCCAAGCGAGAGAATCTTTATCAGAATTCAAAGTCATTCCAACCAGGCACTTCTACATCTTCAGATTGGCTAGAAAAAATGGTGCAAGCATTTGTTTCTTGTGTTACAACTGGAAATGTAAAGGTAATTCCTAATTTCCTATCGGTAAAAAAAAGAGATGAAAGGTAAGATAATTGTTATGAGCGGAAAGGTAAGTAACATTTGATCTTCCCTCTTTACACTGACCTCATCTTCCCAAACTTTTTTTTTTCCGAAAGGTAAACTTTATTATTTTCAGACTAGCTAGAGTACAATTTACAGAATTTTTGAAGTTTGATTGGTCTTGAATTGTAATTGGTCGTTGATTTCTTTGTTCACCACTGGTAAGCAAGCTGATACCATAGATGTTTGAAGATAACATCTAACCAAGACCATAGAAGAATATTAAATGATGATGGACTATCATTAGGGCTTAGGATAACTAGTAACAAGCAACTTGTAATTGACTAATGCATGAAGATGTCCACGTAATGGAGGGATTTTTTTTCTTTTCTATCTTTGTTCTAATTTATTTGTTCAGTTATATTGATGAAATCTGGCATTTCATTTCAGGTTCAGTGGAACGTTTGCCATGCATTGAGCAATTTGTTTGTCAATAAAACATTGGAATTGCATGACAAGGATTGGTAAGTAATTACATGATTGGTTTTATTTACCTGATGTTGTTTGCTTGTTGACTAGGATGACTCTCTGTGATCATCTACTTATTTGGTCACTGGTATTGTCATTTCTAAAACTGAATGAATGATGGTATTAAAATTTTAATTTTGGTTGTAGTTGATATCTACTTATTTTCTTGATAGTGGAGCCATGACTGCAACTTGATACTGGTTCACATGCAATAGAATAGACAATTACTTCTAAAAAGTTAGCCCACCATTTTGGTCATGCTCTGTATCAAGTTCTCTCCTAGCACTGTTCTGAAAAGTGGGAATTGAACTGATTTGGGTTCAATTTGGGTACAAAGATCCCCAAGTCACAGTAGTTTTATGACTTTTCTAATTAATTTGGTAATTGTGCTCGAGTTGAAGTCTGTTTCTTTTTGCTTTTCTTTCAAATTTTTCTTGTTCTGTTCTTTCATTTACCATGCAGCTAGAAACCTATATCTGTATAGCACGTGTGCTGGCATCAAGCCAGCAACATCTTGGCTATTCTGTTCTAATGGACAATTTTTTTTTCTTTTTGGAAATGGAAAAAAAAATCATTGGCCAAAGGGGAAAGTCGCATTTGAGAAATGCTACTGCCCTGGCGCATTCCTAGAATGCAACCACCCAGTTTTCCCGTGTAGAAAAGCAAATACTAAAATTTGTTGGGTAGTCACATTTCACAACGAAAAATGTGACTGCCAACTTTATAAGTATATATAAAAAAGGTCGTTGTGGACTGATTTAATATACCAAAAATGATGGAATGAGTTTACACTTTTTGTTTTGGAGGGGGGGGGGGGGGGTTGGTGGTTTGAGGGCGGTTGCACTTCAGCTTCTAAAACCTTTTAGAAACGAGGGAAGTCTTTAGCGCCATATCATAGTTGTCCCAGCCCCCCTTCTTCTCTTCCACCCTGACCAGCCACCTACCCACAGCGACTGCTCTGGTGAGATCACCAGTGCCAATTCCAGCTCCATCTAGGTAAAGATTGAGCGCTTTCTTTTTTTCCCTGTTTATTAGTAGCCCTAAAATTACATGTAATTGTAGATACACACACAAACATTTGCACCTGTAGTGAATCTATGGTTTGTTTTGCAGAAGTGAAAGCAATAAAACTTCTAGTACTTACTAGATTAGAAGTTCAGCGTAACTGGATGTTATAAGCTTTTTATATCTTTTTATTAGTTCGGGGTCGCATTCCTCAAATGCGACTGCCTACCACTTCCTTTTCTTTCTCCTTTTTTTGGGGGTTCGGGTGGGGTTTCTATTCTTTTGTCATGGCAAAACTTGGAGTGGTCGCATTCCCCGAATATGACAGGTAGGTGCTGGATATGCTCCAAAATCACCCCTCTTTGGTGGATGAATTCTTTTTTCACCATTATAAACAAAGAAATTGCAGCCGTTATTTTTGTCCAAGTTTTTCACCATTGGTGGTTTTGAACGCCATCTAGTTGAGGCGCAAAGTTGACTCAAGAGTTCCTGTTTACAGCTGCTATCTGGCAAAGAGTTTCAGATTTGAAGGTCTCTGAACAGCCACAGCAACCCCCATTCTAGGGAAAAGGGTTGCTAATTCACTTGCTGAAGGACCTTATTGCATTGGGTGTGTCAAAAGTGAGAAGCAATCAATGTCAATTTATCAAAGATCTTTGCACTGAGCTTGTTTGTAGGTAGAGATGGATACTGTACTATGCACTAACCAGCATTTTTAGTGTTCAGGGTAGCCAGTGTTGAAAATGCAACATCTTTTTATTTGAATTTTTGCTCTCAAAAACCTAAACTATGTGAATCCAAAGGTATGGAACCAAAGCTGAACATGAATTAGGTACCGTTTTGCCCCTTGGAGATGGGAATACAGTACTTTTCCATTGTAAGGCGTTCTGTTAAAACTATTCTAGGGGATGGATTGTGATCTGCAAGAAAGTAAGCAGATTCAAGATTTGATCGCCTTATTCTAACCTGGAATTGGTATTGGCCATTTTAGTCAAAGCACAAGCTGTTCTTCTTGGCTCAATTGCGTAGGTTTAATGAGCTCATTTAGGGATTCTTCTGAAGGCTTAAGAAGGGCTGCATAATGCTTCTATTATGTCATCTTTGTATTCAATTATTCCTCCTATGGCTATGTTTGCTACCAGTTCTGCATTCCAAATGGTATTTTATTAATCAAGTCAGACAGAGACTCGCGTCACTAGAGAGTGAATTCACACTTCATATCACCCTTGAAAATTTTTTGCAGTATTGAAAACCCTGGCCGGATCTAGTGTGCTCTTTTTTTTTGACGAAGGTGTATTGAAGTACCCCCTTTGTGAAGTGCTAAGCTACATTTTTTGATAAATTATGTTAAATAGAAGTAGTTTTGCTGTATTATGTTGCTTATGAACTTCTGGACCTATAAATCAAGCAACGTGAAGGTAGCTAGACCCTGGACATTGTAAGGTTAGCTAATGATAGCTAGGTTGTAAATATACTGACTAAATATATTACTTTATTTTCGAACTTGATTGCAGGCTGACTTTGGATGCATTGACTATAGGACCTTGATTCCTTAGTTCTTTGTTTGCTTGCAGCGCCTTGACTTCACGTGCGAAGATTGAGGATGGCAATCAAATGATGAACAAGTTTTAGGATAATGGTTATATGTTCAACCCTTGGGCTTATTTGTCTTCATGTTTACCTGTTTCTCTCTATCTAGCTTTATTCTAAGACTAGAGTTCTTCATATCACCTATGGGGCCGTTTCGATGGTGTGGTTTTTCGAAGTATGTCGAAAACTTTTACCTGTACAGACAAAATCCAGTATCGACGCAAAAACTGAAGATACAATTAACCTGAAGGTACAATTAAGCTCGATGAGCTTTCAAGCCTCACATGTTAGGCTTGAGCTCGTCAAGCTGTTCAGGCTGCTCAAACTCGGTCAAAGAAGGCTTGAGGTTGAGCTTTGACTGAGCAAGGTCATGAGTAGCTGGATTGAGCTCGACTCATTTGCACCCTACCTCGTACTGATTATTTCTCAGTTCAGATTTGGGAGGTTCATATGTTTCTCATGTTGAGTATTTCTCTGTAGCCTTTGTTTTATATCTTAGTGATTCCTGATTTATCCCAGAATCTGAGTATGTACTCTATGCTAATTAAAAGTCAGACGACTTTCTGCCCATTTGCATCTCAAACATCTGATGTTACACGGAACATTATGCATCCATGGACAAACCTATGGCTATTAGTAAGCAGAAGTTTGTAATGTGTCTCGCCCATTTGTCTGAAATGTGTCAATTTTGCTGGAAAGCCAATAGGAAATGGGATGGACTTTTGAGTAAGTTGTCTTGTGCAGCAGTTCACTCATTGAAAATTTCAGCCTAGTTGTATGCCTTGTGTTTTGTCTTTCTTTGAATTTTCAGCCTTCATGTTATCCTTTTATTTCGACACCTAATTTTCCTACTTCAGCTTCAGTATTTTTTCTCTCTTCCCTTTTCAATATGAACCTTGCTCTTTTAGCTGGTAATGGATCATGATTGTGGTACTGTTCAGACTGCATTAACCTATAGAGACAAGTTATTTGAAGCAATCCAGTATTGACAAAAAACTGAAGATACCATTAATTTAGTAATCCCAAAGAAGCAATAATTATGAAATTTAGCATAGCTGTTTTCACCCAAGAGTCCCTCTGATTGTGCAATTATCTCTCTAAAATTCTGTGCGAAATTGTCTAGAATGTATTTTTTTGCTCTTCCTCATGCATCAAGTGAAAGTACATCATATATTTGCGCTTCCTGAATTCCTCTCTCCTTCAAATATTTTTGCAGGGCTCCAGCTGTTTTTAGTATTCTTTTACTGCTTGTGCGTGATTCTGCGAATTTTAAGATCAGGATACAAGCTGTCACTGCTTTGGCTGTTCCAAGTACAGTAGATGGTAAATAATACTAAGCTGCATACATTGATATTGTCATACTCTATCTTTGGCTGTTGCAGAATACATGTTACCTTCTGAAATGGCAACTGATCTTCTCCAATCACACCCTCCATTTGACTCTGACCCACCAACTCCTCACCTCACATGCATACAGACAATGGGCACACTGAGGGGCACTAGCTTGACAATTAGGTTGGAGCTCGGTGTGTGAAGGCACACTATACTTTTGTGGGCACTCTTTTATGGACAAAGCAGAAGACTTGGTAGAAACATATTTGTTTAAACCTTAGTCAGCAGGTCAAAAGTGGAAAACAAAACAGATTTCAATATCAGTTTTATACTGTTGGTAAAAAAGCATGGCCACAACCATTGGGAAAGAGGCAGTATCAATTAACTTGGTTGTATTTAAGTGTGATTGCTGCATGCAGTTTTTCATTATCTTAAGAGAACCAAAGTTTTAACATACTCTCAAGCTGATATCATCCTCTGCTAGCTGTACCGTGCATGTATTCTCCAGACCTAAATTCAGGCTTTATACTGCTTCTTAGCAAGTCCTTTCTGTTATTTATTTAGTTATTCATCAGTTGCATTGTTTGGGAAATTTGTTCCAAAGGTTTCATTGTTGAAGTTATTGGTATCGCATCAAGCTTCAGGATGTACTTGTACTTCTTTTTAAGTGGATCTTCTTGTTATTGTAAATCTCCATCTTGTCATTATCAGAGAAATAAATATTGGATGTCATGATTTTGTCCTTTTGTTATCCAAAAGGAGAAAGTTTATGTTTTTTGATAGTTCGACATCTCAAGTAGTCTCAGAGCATGAGATTTGACCTCTCTCTTTTTTTCAGTGTACTTATGTTCATTCTGCTTCCCGTGTTGTTTTCATGTGTGATTTGTTTGATGCAGATTATGGCAGATCCTTCTATGATGTCCTTCAAGGTGTGGTGAATGTATCAGAGAATCTAAATTCCGACAAAATATCATCACCATCTAATTTTAAGTATAAAGTTGCACTGGAAAATCAGGTCAATCTACCCAAACAATTTCAGTTTTTGGATCTCCATCAATTGATTAATTTAAAGTTTGATCTGATAAGAGTTACTATTTATGGCTTGGGCTTGTTGGATACTTTGTTCTTTTGATATATACTGTAAGATTCCTTTGTATGCTGATTAATCAGGTAATACTGAAAGGGGGTTTTGAAATAAATGATCTGAAAGGTTTGGCATATCAGATTCCTTCGTATGCTAATTAACTATAAGGAGGTTATGAAACAAATAATATGGAAGTTTCAACATTGATTAGATGCTTAGTGATCTGGTAGATGCTATTTGCAAGCAAAGTCTTGTGCTGAAAATGGATGCTGCACAGTACTATTTTACTCTGCCAGCTTAGTGCTATACGAAAGCAAGGATGTGCAATTTTCATAGTCGTTCCTCATGTAGTTTTTCTTTCTGCTATATTTTCTGATTGTGAAATGGACAAAGAAGTTATCTAAACAGTGAGAGTGCATAACCAAGTGTGACGTTAAACTTTTTGGCCTACTGAATTTCAAGTGGAGTTTAGTAGATTCAACAGGAATCTGACAACCATTTTACGATGTAACTGAAATTACAGATTTCCTTCTTCATATACCTTTCTTATCTCCATCCTGTTTATGATTGTCGTAGTACAATCATGGTAACCAA